TCCGCATCGACCAGCTCGCCGAGCTGGGATGCTGCTGCTTCTGCTCCATCCTCTACATCGGCAATGAGACCTTTGTCCGCGAGAACCCCGAGAAGGTCCGCGCGTTCCTGCGCGCCGTGAAGAAGGCCACTGACTTTGTCATCGCCGAGCCTGCCCAGGCCTGGGAGGAGTTCATCGACTTCAAGCCTGTCCTCGCCACGCCACTGTACCGTAAAATCTTTGAGCGTAGCTACGCGTACTTCTCCAAGGACCTGAAAAATGTCCAGCGCGACTGGACCAAGGTCACTGCGTACGGGAAGCGTCTCGGTGTGCTGGACAATGACTTTGTTCCCAACTACACCAATGAGTTCCTTGAGTGGACTCTCGAAGCCGATTCCAAGGACCCTACCGGTGACCAGAAGCGCATGGCTAAGCTCCAGGAGCAGGTTGCCGTCGAGGGAGGATTCCACCGACTTGGTGCCGCGGTTGAGGCTGCTTAAAGCCTTTGGTATAGGAAGGCTGTTCATCTTCGCTACTCTAGTCAAGAGCACAGCATCCATGTATGTAAAATCCAGATCTAGCAGGACTCGATGCTATCTGGGACACAATGGAGCATTCGGATAGCGAATAGAATTATATAAACAGTCGATTTTATAACTGAAATCAATCGTGTTGCCACACCAGAACTATTTTGTCGTAACTCGCTTATGGTGATCACCTGATGGAACTTTGTTGTTTGAATGAATTACTTGATGGTATAATTTAGCTCTAGCCATTGTAGTTCTGTAGTGGTCAAGAATCTATTATTCTGGTCTATATGCATCATCAACCATCGCAATCTAATGAATCTATGCACCGGCTCCTAGTGTTGTTGTCATCTATCCTCATAAAGTGCGTTATTTCATGGCTAGGAAAAGGGGAACCCTTAAGCCCCCCTCCCTCTCTCTCAGTGATCGCTTAATAGCTCGACGGACGGAATAGGCTCGTACTGGATCTCATCTCGCGAGTCTGACGTTGGCTTGACGTAGCGATGGTGTAGATACCTGAGCACGAAAGCATTGATGATCAGGGCAACCGCAATCACGATCATGGTGGGATAGCCCTTAGGATAACTCGGGGCTTCCACCTGTTGCCAGATCACTAGCGGCACCCACGCCTGGAATATATATGCCACCTCGTTCATCATGGCCGTGACAAGCGCCCTCTCCTCGTTGTCGTCCCCGCACAGCTCGTGGGCCCAGGCGAACAGTAGACCGCTGATACCTCCTCCAAATCCACAAAGCAGGAAAGATATCCAAGTCAACGCCGTGGGTATGTTCCATATCGTCAGACAGGTGTAGGAAAAGATTTTCACTACACCTGAAAACACCACCGCAGGCCATCGAGCCCCTTTGAATATTCCATCCGAAGTCCAGGCGTAAATGAGGGTGGTGACGATGCTGATTCCTTCGGTGATCGTGGGGTAAATATTGGCCTCCCTAACTGTATAGCCCTGCTGTTTCAACCAAATAGCGAAAGCGGGCTGGCCTGCCCCTCCGTTTCCATTATTAAAGAGGACATAGATCAACGTAAGCAGGTAAATCTTCCAGCTGGAGAAGATTTTGATGAATTTCGCCTTCGTGAATGGGGAGCGCTGGGCTCGACCTTCAAGCTGCATTCGCTTCTTGGCTAGTTTGATCTCCTCTGGGGTTAGGTAAAATGCCCTGGTAATCTCGGGGACATCCGGAAGGAAGAAGAAGCCCGAAATGGCGATGGGAAGTGACACAACCGTGTTGGTGATGAAGAGCCACTGCCATCCGTGGAAACCGTGCACCCCGTCGAGATTGATCGCTCCCGCCATGAGGTATCCTGATACCATGGAGCCTACATTTCCCATTGCGTGAAATAGACACGATCGCTTGGCTAGCTCATCTTTGCGATACCATGATCCGATGATGTACTGCATTCCGGGGTAGAAAGTGCTTTCGGCGAGTCCAATAAAGAAGCGAAGAGTGTATAGCTGTGTAGTCGTGGTGCACTTAGCCAGGAGGACGGTCAACAAGGACCAGATGACCTGTTTTGGTGTTACTCTATGCTTTCGTCATAGATAGGAGGGGTTGAGAGTTTGAGGCATACTTCGCAAGCCGGAATCCAAATACTAGGTCTGATCTTGGTCAAAAGCAAGTTGCTATTATATATTAGCATAAGAGAGATGGGTGGCTAAGCAAAGGTCCAAGATACCTGGGTATTTCACCTATTACATATCCAATTGTCCAGAAGGTTTGCATATAGTTGAGTTCATTACCGAAGAGACCCATGTCTTCCTTCATTCCGGAGATGAAGGCATTGTTAATGTTGACCTACGTTGTGTCGCGTTGTCAATATCACCACTTGGAAGAAAGGCAAGAAGCCGAAAAGGATAGTCCGACATAATGACAATGGATGACAGTGGAGGACACGGGCGAGAATGAAATGACAGCCAAGAATAAAATGCTAACCTGATCGAGATACTTCATGAAATACCCCAGAGACGCCAAGGTCATCAAAGCGACATCTAACTTGAACAGGAATCGTCGCTCTTCGGGAGACTTGTCAAACGTGTCCCAGAGGTACGATTTCCAGCTCCTCTTCGGCTCGTCTTGGATGGAACCGATTGCTGAGCTGCTTGAGCTGTCGGCTCCGTCGTCGATGTCATCCCTGTGTCGGACAGTCCCGTATCCTCCTCCCTTCGATATCGTCATCTTGGATGAGTAGCGACAACAGCGCTATTAGGCGATTCCCGGGTGATTTTATCGAAATTTGTAATGGAGGGATCAAAGAAATGGGCATTCTGGGCTGTTTTATCATTTCTCCCATTCATCTGACACGCAGTATCTGATGTGATACACAGGGGTAGCACTGCCCTTGGCTTAGGGCACCAGAGACAGCCAATAGAGCTTGTGCCAGGTGGCATTTCCATAGTTTCACCATCTGAATCCTCGATGTCGTCACATGGGACTGTTCAGATCGCCATTCAAAGAGACCCTGCGAGCCAAGCTTCAGGCTGGGCGATCCGGGCAACCAGCAGCAAGCGCGGAGGCACGCCTGATCAAGGGGGCAGTCAGCCATGGTGTCGTCTGCCCCGGACGGCCACTATCCTCGAGAGAGGAATGGCGAGTCTCCCGCACATGGATGAGACGGCACAGATCACCATGGAACAAACACGGCAAGATGCGGCTAGCAGACTCCCAGGGCTGTGACTGATTATGCTGCGCATGTCTCAAGTGGGGACTTTAGCCCAGTGACGAGGTGACGTGATGATGGACGGATATCGTGTGCTCGCTTCCCCTCCCACGACACCATCGATTTCCAGCGTGTCCATTAGGGTGGCATCTCGACTCCAGATCCCACCGGCTCGTTCTCCATCTCGATTGGTGCTCCTCCACTGATATCTCATGCACCGAGACCCTGAACATGTCATGTTGGCCAGATTGCGCCATCCGACTCCACGATGAGCACCACTTATCAACTCAACCGTCCGGAAACACCACTGTTTTTTCTCCGAGCTCGGCGAGGCTTACAAACACGACTGATTCTGGAAATGCTTTTAATACACAGTGACATGTCTTGTTGCGGGTAAAAGTGGTGGTTTGTCTCATCAAATAGGAAAGCCTGCTCTCTCTCCTTTTCCTCCTCCTCCTTACATACAAGACACTCAGCCCACACATCCATCATGCCTGTCGAATTCATCAGCATCAGCTTCCCCAACGCCTCCAATGAGATCAACCCGATCCCTGGCGCCGGGGTTGACCCCGACTTCCTGGTGCGCTACTCCAAGGCGCTCGATGACTACGGCTTCAACTACACCCTGATCCCCTATGGCTCCGAGTCATTTGACCCCTTCACTCTTGGCGCAACTGTCCTTGCCCACACCAAGAACATCACCGTGATCATCGCCCTCCGCCCCAACACCGTCTACCCCACAGTCGCCGCCAAGTCCCTTGCTACTCTAGACCAGCTTAGCAAGGGCCGTGTGGTTGTTCACTTCATCGCCGGCGGTAGCGACGCCGAGCAGGCCAAGGAGGGTGACTTCCTCAACAAGGAGGAGCGTTACGAGCGCCTCGAGGAGTACATCAAGATCCTCCGCCGTGCCTGGTCATCGACCGAGCCTTTCGACTGGGAGGGCAAGCACTACCAGTTCAAGCAGTTCGTCAGCCGCGTCAAGCCCACAAAGGGTACCATCCCCGTATCGGTCGGTGGCTCATCCGACTCTGCCTACCGTATCGGTGGCTCCCTGGCCGACATCTTCGGTCTCTGGGGCGAGCCTCTCAAGGAGACCAAGGAGCAGATTGACCGCATCTACGCCGAGGCCGACAAGGCCGGCCGTGCTCCCACCGACCGTCCCCGTATCTGGGTGACCTTCCGCCCCATCATTGCCGAGACAGACGACCTTGCTTGGGCCAAGGCGCACCGAACTCTGGATGCCTTGAAGGGCAACAGAGAGAAGGGCGTGGGACTCGTCCCTGCCAACGCCCCTCCTCCCGCCAATGTCGGCTCCCAGCGCCTGCTGGAGATCGCCGCTCGTGGTGAGGTCCAGGACCGCGCTCTGTGGTACCCTACCGTGACGGCTACTAATGCCCGTGGTGCTTCTACCGCTCTGGTGGGAAGCTATGAGACCATCAAGGAGTCGCTGCTTGACTACGTTGATCTTGGCGCTGACTTGATCTCTATCCGAGGTTATGATAACTTTAATGACGCTGTTGACTACGGCCGGTATATTCTGCCTCCTGTTCGTGAGGAACTGGCCAAGCGAGCAGCGGAAGCTAAGAAGTAGGTACGGAGAATATAATAAGAGAACACTGTATAAATTTGAGAAAAATGTCTATGTAAAGTAGATTAAACACGTAAATACGAAAGAGAATTCTTATCTAAAAAAAATTGACAATGCCAGATATACAACGTCGATACTCTCTAGTTTAAGGTATTTGTAGTATATCAAGTTGAGATGGGTTTATGGGGATATACAGGCATTATTTGTACAAGCGACTAATTATACATTGTCTTCACTGAAGCGCAATACCAGCTGTTTCCGCTCTCCTCCTCGCACGTCGACCCATTTTATCCCGAGCAAGCTCTTGCAACCAGGCAGGCCAAGCCCTCAAGCCAGCAACAAAGGAATGACTCTCTGGAAGAATCAAATCACCGCCGGTTCTGCTCACGATTCGGTCGACAATTTTGTCCGCAACGAAGTCGCTGTCGAGCATGAACACGCCCTCTTTATCTAGATGCGCTTGTTGGTGCTTCAAGATGGGCGTCCTGACGAATTCAGTATGAACAGCCGTGGTGAGTACATTTGGTGCATCATAGATGTGCTTCAGCTCTGAACCGAGCGTCTCATGGAAAGCACGGATGGCGCTCTTACTGCTTGAGTAGTCGCCGGCGTTGGCGACAGCGATGAAGGAGGCTGAGCTGGCTACCGTGATCACATGGCCCTTGTCATGTTTGATCATGTCCGGAAGGAATTGCTTCACCGTATACCAGTGTGCAAAACAGTTGATGGCGAACAGCTGTTGGAGGGCTTCGTCGGAGAGTTCAATAATTGGGCACCGGTGGGAAATTCCAGCGTTATTGATCAGGATAGTTGGGTGGCCCAACTCGTTCCGAATGGCATCTGCCGCGGCTGCGATGGCCTCTGGCTTGGAGACGTCACATTTGTAGAAATGTATGCGATCTTGGTCCTTCAACGACTCTGGAGGGTCTTGAACATCCAGAATAGCCACAGTCAGACCCTTGGCCACAAGCCTTTGGACGACAGCTTGGCCTATGCCGCTGCTACCACCAGTGACTACAGCAATCTCGTTCGCCCAGTCCCAATCATTCGGAGTTTTGGTGCGCCACGAGTTCTGAGCCATGATAGATAGAGTGCGGTTTAGCCAGCGCACGCCTCCAAGTACAACAAAGACCAACAACGGTGTCTTAAACCGGCGGCTGTTTTCCGTAAACAAGGGCCCAAGTCTTGCTAGAATTGGCGCATGGTTTGCAATAGCTGTTAATGCTGGGAGCACAATATTTGGTGCAAGAGTCGCTCCTAGAAGCAATGATCCAGGCAAGAGGCCGGCAGGGAGCGGTTGATATAAACTAGACATGGGCGTGAAATCCAGAAGATGGAGATGCTAATGATGGGTTTGGTTGATTCGGAACTGAGTATTTTCGGGTGAACCGGCGATAACCCACCAATTTATTACCCAGTCAACGCGTTATTGCCGTGCCATTATTAGCAGCCCAACCCCATCAATGACTCAAAAAATGGACGTTTATTGGTTAATAACCGATATGATTCTAATTGCATTCGGTGGAGTCACTTCGCCGGCGGGTTCCGAGCTATAGAAAAGCACGGTCGTTCGGCGGCTTTCGCTTCAGCCTCGAATCCGCCGATGTCTAGATGTCTAGAGGCTTGGTTTATAACGAGTATGAATGCAACTGATAAAGTCCGTACACTTATAAGAGTTGGATGAGGCATCACTAGCAAAATGAAGTTTCCTGAACGTTGAATTTCCAGTACTTGAATCCTCTGGATGGACCTATCTAATCTTGGACTGTAACTTTTTACTTTTTACTGTCCTTGACTTCATACCTACACGAAGGCTCCTGGGATGTAGGCACCCCTAATGCTCTGATAAGAGCACACTGTGGAACACCAACCTCTATTTCAGCGCGATTTTCCGCTGCATAGTATCGACCCTTCATTATAGTAGGACAGGTTCCCTGCAATATTCACGGTCTATTGGGTCGGATGATCGCTTGCCGCAACGTTGCATTGATGCATAACCCTGGGGCCGTATGACTTAGGGAACTCGGTCTATCCGATATTAGCCAAAGGCAGCAGTTTTAGAGGGCTAATCCGATTGGAAACTCACAATGCTGTGCCATAGGGATCTGTTGTACCATAGGATGACATCTTGTTCTTGATGTGGGTGGGCATGGATATTCTCAGGGCTGAGTGCTGGTCTCATGATCCTTCGGTCGTTGGTCAGCAAGAGTAGTTTCCAGGAGCTTGGGGGAAATCTTGCTTATCCATAAACGCCCGAACCTCCTTCAAGTCAGTGACCATCTTCTCTTCTCCATCTGGGCTGCTCTTCAAGTACAGCTTAAAGGCGCCTTGTCCATGCACTTGGAGAGACTTCTCCCCTGTTTTAGGGTTTGTCCAGACCATAGGATATACACATACTTTTTCTTGTGACCAAGGGGGAAGCTGGTCTAGCGGTTTCTCCAAACCCTCTGTCTCCAACAGATGACCGAGCCTCGTACTGTGCGCCGTTGACATCCACACGAAGGCATGAGGGGCATACTCTATGCGACTATTCATAACGATATTACGGGTTTCGTCATCGAGTAGGGCCAAAGCGCGGGAACCGGCAACCATAGCGGTAGCTCCAGGGGCAATCTTCATCTCGGTTCCAGTGCCATCGTCCCAGCGGACTGTGACATCTGGTCCCTTTGGAGTGCGGACGGCAAGGAGACAACCAACGCGGGGTGGTGGGATGCCGTACAAAGATGCATCAAAGTGCCACTGATAGAATCTGCTAGCACCTGCTTCACGTTCTTCTGCCGGTATGTGAGGCGGTAGGTGAAATTCCTCGTGGTCGATGCCTTGAACTTCGAAACCCGGGGGGAACTGGTAGTGGTTTTTAGGAAGCGGCCCACGGCCGAGTATATGGACTTGAGGTTGGACGGGGATGGCAGGGCGCTTCGGCAGTCCATAAATCTTGACTCCTTGGTGTTCGGTCAACAAGGGGTCGGGGCCATGGGCGAAGCCGCCGGTTGTCTCTTCCGGATCGAAGCTGGGTAGGCATATTAGAGAAGTAAGCAGGGAGGGCCACAGCCATTTCAGGGGCTTACCTAGAAGTTAACATATACTGCTCTATATCTGGTGTTAGCAAGCCATTCTCTCGCTGTAGCTGGGTTTGACGTACGTTGAGGAGCGAGCATTTGAGGCTGTTCCTTGAAGACAAGCAATTTGTGTTTGTGGAGCGCATCGGAAATGAATTCAAAGTCGGCGTCCGTGAACTTGTTAAGATCAATGCCATAAACGTAGGCTCCAAAGTCGACTTTACTGTCTGGGCCGTGCTCAATTGGCACGACTCTGCCTGCGGATTTCTCGGCGTGAGGTAGGGTGAACTCCGACTTCCCAGCGATGAGATGGAGCTCGGGAGCTTCCTCCAGGGTTGTAGCAGATGCAATAACCATGTTCAACGATGAGTGGGTGTGTAGATTGGGGTAGATGATGCTCTGTATGGATGGTCGGATGTCTTCTAAGCCCACGTCAACCTCGATGTTCTGTAAACAGTTATAAGCTCAGTGTCGTAATCAGCTTCCACTACCTCGCGTTGCCACATCTAGTCCATGAGGATTGAGTTTGTAGCCCTCGGCCGAACATGATTATATCTCGGTGTGGGGTTCGGCCGAGCTCATGTGTGTGTTGTTAACCAACGTCATTGATAATGAGCCGACAAGGGGCAGCTGATATGGTGCAGCTCCAGGTGAAATTCTACGGTTCAATAGGCATTGTTTGAAATCATTCCACCATCATCTTCATTTACGCCAGAGTTGGGCACATGATTGCACTATTTACATTCAAGCGCTAACATCAATCTGTTAAGTGTTCTTCACAATTTGCGCGGTTCAACCTCTACGTCTGAGCCCATCTCGCCTTTTATTCTCGAAAGGCATAGAAAACTTTTGTTCGACTTCCCAGGGCACGGAAAGTCCTCGTCAAGCGCCGTTGAGACACCTCTCAGTATTGGTGGCCATGTCTCCGACTTGGGCGATCTCGTCGCATATCTGCAAGCAATTGGTGCGGACGCCTCCAAGGGAAGAGTAAGCGAACTTAACAAGTTTTGTTCTTTGATGGCTTCGAATAGTTACTGAATTGTTTGTGCTCCAAAAGATCATCATCCTTGGGCACTTCTTTGGCACCGCAGCCGCAATGCACGACGCCGCGCAAAGCCCCAACAACGTCTCTGGACTCGCTCTCCTTGGAGCAATCCAATCGGCAGCACACGTCCCTGCCATTAAATAACTCATGCTAGATATAATTACCAACGCCGGGAAGCACGGAGTTGAACTTTTCGCGAAATTGGCAGTACAGACCAGCTTATCGTCAGACGAGCGGCGGCTCGTAGATCCAGCTCACCACAAGGCTGGGAAATTACCGCCGCAGGGGCACAACCGGAAGTTTACGCTTGAACCTTCAACGTAATTGCTCATATGGACGACAGGTATTTGATATTCTGCGATCATTTGTCCGCATATTCTTATCTCATCGTGTTAAACCTAGATATCATCAGTAAGTGACCCTCATGCCTCATCGAAATGAAGTCTAGAATACGTGCTAAGATTGGCAATTCAGGCCAGTTACGAGATCGATATGACGGGATGATGGGTTTGCTGGACAGTCATGGGTGGAAATCATCAAGAGAGTGTATCAGTAAATACTAGAAAGTATAGATGCTAATAGTGCTGCCTTGGTGTCTACATTATTTTATAACTACCACAAACAGCTTGTAACTAGAGAAGATATTGACTTAAAGAACAAATTTCCATAACCAATACAATGGATAAGTAAATTCTCAAGGTCGAGGTTACAATGAATTAGCCCACCTGGCTTTACTTAAGACGCATGTTCTTGCTGAGACATGTTTCTTCTAGTCTAGCGGACCTCAATTCAATTCATAACCTGTGAGACTCTCTGGATCTAGGAATCAGGAGGCCTTACTACATGACACTCTCTCCACACCGACCGTAAATCCAACGATAGAACCGTTGCTCGGCCGTTCAATCAATGAGGCCGGATTACTGGGAACTCGATGATCTAGGCTGGCTATGCTACGATGTTCAGACCATATTGCAAGCACATGCAACTAGTACGAGCTCCTTTCCAGATAATGGCCTTGGCCTGCTGCTGAGTTTTCCGCAGTTAGGCTTCGCTTTGAGCTATCTACGGTGTACAGCCGGAAAGACTTAGATCCTATCACCCGAGGTAGGATCACAGCTCGGGCAAGATAGCAGCTTCATGGTCAATTAGATGTCCTACGGTTTCTGATTCCTTGCTGTCGGTGGTACCAGATAGCTACCATAGCCTGCCCGAGCCCGAGGTGGCTAATACCGGCCGGGCTGAGACGTCAAACAGTCCCTTGGGTCCTCTTTCTGATTGCCTCGTATTGATACCTCAACCTCGGCGGCTCGGCCGAGAAATTAGGTCACCGAGTGTGGTTTGATCATTAACGAGCTAACGAAACCCCGCGATTACTTGGCAGTATCTCAGGGTAGCGAGAGTCGCATAACTTAAGTAGTCAATGATAGAGGCTAGAATTGAGAAACTACAAGGGATATCGGTTCACGAACTTGAAATAGCAAACTAGACATGTCTCAACATGCACTTGGCCCCGGCCTCAAGGTCAATCCAATCCCTAAAGGCGAGGGGAAAAAGACCAACTTCGGTGTGTCAATTGAAGGTTTAGACTTGAATCAAATTTCCGGTAAGTGAGACTTAAGACGTTCGGGAAGTCCGATTTCTGACCGATACAGACGAACAAGTGAAAGCTCTATCAGATTTCATCTGGACACACAAGGTATTTGGAAATAATACACCATCTACGGCAACGACAGCACTGACTCAATCCAGGTATTGGTGATCAAGGGGCAGCAGTCCCTAGAGCCAATCAAGCAGTGGGAACTTGTAACTCGCTTCGACCCAGACTCGCCACAAGTACACTCGCATGGTGACATGAAGACATTTTCCAAGAAGGGCGGCCTTCTATCAGTGAGTGCTTTTTCTTTGATATGAAGTTTCAACGTTCTTACAATTAAAAGGCCAGTAGGGAAGTAGTTGGTATCCCGGGAGCTGAAAATGTGCGGCTTATTGGGAAGGGTTTCCAAGGAGAGGATCACTATGGTATCAAGAACTTAACCATCTACCACGGCTTGTCAAATGATTTCCATTCTAAAAAGCTACCCGACGATGGTTTCAAGGCAGGCAATAGCCGCTTTCAACGATGGCATATGGATGCCCCGCTCTATGATAGGGATCCCGCCTGGTTCACGACGCTGCGCTGCTTTAAGAGACCAAGAGAACCGATGATGAATATTCGATGGGACGACGATACTGGCCTTTCAATGAAGTCCGAACCAGGTCTAACAGCATTCTTCAGTAATGTCCAGACTTATGAGCTGATGAGTGCCGAGGAAAAGAGCATCGCCGACAATTCGTGGGTGGAGTATGCGCCCAATCCTTATGTCTGGATCAGCAAATGCGGCGGTAAAACGAACGGCCTTGGCCTTGAGAACGAAGGCAAAGAACTAGCTCTTGAGGACTTGGGGAACTATGAAATCAAGAACGTGAAGACATATCCAATGGTAGGATATTTTGCCTATGCTCGAGGTATTCAAAAACTAACCTACTATTACTGTAGGTCTGGGTCAACCCAGTAACTGGCGAGCGAGCCTTCCAAGTTCACGGCATATGTGCAAGGAAATTATACCTCCGATCCTCTCCTACTGAAAAGCCTCGCATCATTGATAAAGTAGAGGAAATTCGAGCGTTTCTAAAGCCTATCCAAGAGAGGGTATTGAAGCCAGAACATATACTGCTTCCCGTAGTAGAGGAAGGCGATATTGTCATGTGGGCAAATTACATGATGTTCCACACCGCGATAGACTATCCGATCGAATTTGGGGCGCGAACAATGCACCAGGCCAACATTGGCGCCAGCATCGGTCCTGCTCAAATGGGATTGTTCGAAATACCTTCTTTGGCTTAAAGAATGCCAATTTGTCAACTCAATGAACAACTTGATAGTGAATAGACGTTTGGGCTTGTTACCCAAATTAAAGTTACAGTTTGAATTTAAGAGAGCATAATCGCACATAATTGCTGCTGTACTAGACTTCTACTTATCACTAAATTGGCATTTAATTCTGAAGAGTGTATCATCAGATCTTCAACCTCATGTAAATGCTGTCGAAGAGAACATGAATCAATGGAAAATGCATAAGCCCCAGCTCAATCAAAATGTCTCAGGACTTCATAAGGCAACGCTCGGGATTACACGGCTTTAATTACGCTAATTTCATGTGCGGTAAGCCGAGAATAACAACATAATATCACGCATGATATCACAACAGCTGCGTGGCGCCAATGCTGGTATAGACATAGCCAGGATTACATTTCAGTATTCTCCATTTCTGGTCAATTAACCATCTTATGTGCCCTTAGTCTCTCACAACAGATTTAACGACACGAATTCACCAACGTACTATTCATCTCGCTGTGTCACCGAATGCGATCGTCACACAGCCTACGCCATGCCTGCAAGCCGAACTCTCTCCTGAAAGAATTCACCTACGCTCGAGGCACCTTTCAGGGTTAGTACCAGGATAAGGACATACAAGGAGACTATAAGATAGTTCTTACCGTCCTTTTGCACAATGATTCCGCCTGGCTTGACAGGATTCATCACCTGATCAACAATTTAAGTATTCCGCGGACAATTTGACCTTGTTTAGGCAGGGTTGAACACTCACAATCTCGTGATTAGGTGTACTGAAGTACGCAATTGTCTTCCTGGCTTTGGGTAGTTCCGTACTTGCAGACTTTTGGAAAATAACTCGATGGACATTGGCCTTACAAAGACCATCTGTCATGCCTTCCAACGTCAATCCAACATTTACCTAATGAAGTCAGTTTTTAGTATGCCGATGCAAACAGAGTATTTACCAGAACAGTGTTAGGTATGATTGGTGCAGATATCCAGGTTCCTGAATCAAGATCAACGTCGCCTTGAATAAGCTGCAAACCAGTCTGCTTCTTAGCACTTTCAGTTGGCAGATAGACTTGAAGTCCTGGTTGACCGTTCTGTTCTTGAAATAGGAGCGTGATGTCGCCCCACTGTTCGGATTGTCAATACGTTTAGCAGAATCCCTCCTCCGGTCCATGGCATTTCGATGAACTCACATCTATTTCATGAATTAGCAGGGTAATTGCCAGTCAGGGGTTTCAATCTCATGTGTCATGCATACCTACCTTTGTGGCTACCAGCTCGAATGTCATCTCCCGCAGGCGGCTTTTCCAGTGCAGGATAATTGAGGAATGCTAAGCCATTAGAACCGTCGTGTTTGTGGGTGTTTCGAAAAAAGTTCTCTGGAAGCTACAATTATGATGGTCAGTTCATGTCTTGACTACATCCCAAATACGTTGTCTCCTAGGCTTATTACTGACGTCGAATGCTCGTGACAAAATATCAAGAACTCGAAGAGAAGCCTCATAGCATCTTTGATCAAATCTGGTAATCTCGTCTCGGTACTCCTCCATTGTCTTAGGCAGGCTTTGAGTTAACGCCTTCTCTCCGGCAGAGGCCAGGTACCTTCCCCAGACGAAACTCTCCTTAAGGTCTGTTCCAGTAGCCCTTTCATCCAAGGAGCCCTTCATGCCAAAGTAGCCATTGCCTCGCTCATCTTTCAGAGACCCCGACCTTTCGGTTTGCGGGACATTATGGAGAAGTGCCGACAACTCAAAGGTCCGGTCAACATCTGCCTGCGTGATGCCGGTGCCCTCGAGATCAAGGTGGATGAAACCGACTGTGGATAGAGCTTGGAGAACCTCCTCGGGTTTAGAATGTATAAGAGAGATGAGCGGAATCTCAGGGGGTACATTGTGATTGGCTGTCATTGTCACTATGTTGGAAGCAGCTTTATCTCGTATTCATGGATCTCTTGAGGCTGGCTGGTCTGTTGTCCCACTATCTCCACAACGAGGACAAGCGTGGTGAACATCGACAATTTCAAAGCATCCCTTGTAGTAGATGGCAACAGTTGAGGATATCCCTGCTTGGGGAACAAGCTGGTTCTTGAAGCCCCACCGCCAACGCTTCCCGAGACCAGCTCCATTGTCGAGAAGCCCTCGGCCGAGCAGCTCTTATCTTTCAGTCCGACCAACGCGACTAAGCTAGCGGCACCGAGATTCTAGTGCTCCGAGCGATGATTATCTTATCTTCAGCAAACCAGGTGCCCCGGATTTCTATTACTCGTTTGATTGCGACCCCGACCCTGACGGATAAGGATCCCCAGAGCACTAAATAGTGATTATCTTCAAGATCTTATCACCACAGATCATAAACGTTATGGAATCGTGAACATTGCAAGAGTTGTTGATAGCCTCAATTCCCTTTATCTGGGGGCGAACCACGCTATAGGCTTTAGCCTTTCACCTCCGCTATTATTTATGCAGGAGGATTTGATGTTGGTAGACAATCTCACAAATGCCCTATTTGTAAACCTCCCTGAACCTTTATTCTGATGCGTTTTCATTCTCATTGAAGTCTTAAATCCTCTCTCATTCAATATCTAATACACTTACAGACTGCTAAGAAGTGCTACACATCATGAATACAATCGACGTGCAAGACCTCGGTCGCAGGGCCAAACGAGCTCTTACCACTAAAAAAGGCTTCAAGAACGCCATTGAAGTTCAAGCCTCTGACTTTGCGCCCTCAAGTCATGGCTTCATCTGGTCGAATGCTCACATGGATCCGACGCCTCCCTCTGAGCGGACTTAGACTTGGTTCCATTACTTTGCTCTTTGGTATTCCTATAACTTCACTTCCGGCGCTTGGGCTGCTGCATCATCCTTGCTTAGTCTGAATATCAACTGGTGGCAGGCGGTCCTGGCCTGCCTGGTTGGGTCCATTATCAGTGGACTTGCTGTCTCGATGAACTCTAGGCAATCCTCGATTTATCACATTGGCTTCCCTACTCTTCAGCGCGTTTCGTTCGGTATGCAATTAATACCTACTCTTCAGCATTGAACTCTTTGCTTTGTTATAGACTAACACCGATAGGTCTCTATGGCTCTCTATTTCCCGTTTTTACCAGAGCAGTTGTCTCGGTGTTATGGATTGGAGTCACTGTGTATCAAAGCTCATTGTTCCTTGATGTCGCCTTCAGGTAATGTTGACAGACACTACCACAGTAGACTACCGCTAATGATTTTCTAGGTGTGTATTCGGTGATGCTTGGTTCCTCATGCCAAATACATTGCCTGCTAGCGGAGGCATCACGACACGAAAATTCGTTGCTTGCTTCATCATCTGGATTGGATCATACCCTGCAATGTTCCTTAAGATCCACAAGATGAGACACTTCTGGACTGCCAAGGCGGTCGTTATTCCGCCGATCACGATTGGACTTTTCATCTACTGCATGGTAGTTGGGAGCAAAGGTGCCGTTTCGTACACATCTGGCACGAAAGAGTTGACTGGCTCATCATTGGGATGGGCTTTCGTGTATAGCGTGCAAGCTATCATTGGCAACTTCTCTCCTCTGATTACCTCCAACCCTGACATTGCCCGATATGCTGTCAAGCCCAGCGCCACGGGCTGGCCACAGCTGCTTACAATCGCATTCTGGAAGACGGTCATCTGTGTGATTGGTATCTTTGGAACCAACGCAATCGCCTACAAATACGGCACCACGTACTGGAATATGTGGGATATTTGCCACGTCATTCTGGAGAACAACTGGAACGGCGGTGTTCGTTTTGCCATCTTCCTCTTTGCGATTCTGATGGCTTGTTCAGAGCAAATCAAGAACTTATCATCAAATCTAATCTCATTCGGCGCTGATACGGCTTGCTTGTTGCCAAAGTACATCAACATCAACCGAGGGATGATACTAGGCCTGACTATCGGTTTCGTGATTCAGCCTTGGTATATTCTTGCATCGGCTAAGAGCTACCTTACTTTCCTCACAGGATATAGTCTGTTCCTGGGAGCAATTCCATCCATCGCGGTAGCCGATTACATTCTTCGTAGAGGCAATGTAGACGTTTTATCCTTGTACACGGCCAACAAAGGTACGTTCCTATCGTTCCTCCCGTTTTACGGTCTTTACTAACTTATACTTAGACTACTGGTATCTCAAGGGCTGGAACTGGAAAGCATACGCCGCCTACATCATGGCCATTTGGCCCGTTGTGCCTGGACTTGCATACCAATTCTCCAAGGACCCTTCCGTCTCCCAGGGTTGGGTGCATTTGTATCAACTAGGCTGGCTATTTTGTGTGCTGGCCGGAGCTTTGACTTACCTTGTTCTGTCGCTGCTTTTCAAAGACCCGGCCATGACCGAGGCTCGCCAGCATCCATGGGAAAGCTACGCGAAGAACCAGCAGGAGCTTCTGGACAAGGAGAATGAGGGCACGGTGCTGCAAGGTTCGTCGCCTAGTGAATCAGAATCAGATAAAGTCCGCCATTCCTTGGAAAAGAACGTTGTGAAGGTTGAAAACCCAGTGGGACCAGTTCTTTCAGTCTAGGACGGGGAGTCTTGTACGCGGCAACGCCATGGAGATACGTGTGCTTTATCAGATGGGTTGGTCAACTATGTTGAAAGATAACAACCGATTCCGTTGCAGTAGGCAATATTACTATATTATAATCTGACCTGAAATTCTAAGTCATCTCCGTATTCAGGCGTGGGTTGATGAAATGGAAACCTCCCTTCTAAAAACCATCCTGTTAAACCCACGCTGATAGTCTATTCATTGCTCAAACCTACGCATCAAATTCTCCTTTCTAATGAAATATCGAGTCCAGTCAAAACGTCCGCGAATAAGTAAACACTCTGGCTATAAACCGTAGATTCTTGCAAACCTACCCTTTCGCTCTCCGCCTACGAAAATATCCGCCGCTTCATCCATATCATGAGCCAAGAATGCTGGCTTTGCGTTCAGTGCACGATTAACCCTTAGCAACAGCAACTCAGACAAAGAATCAGTTCTTTGGGCACCCTGCTGAATGCAAGTATCCATCGTTGCACCCCACACCATGATCATGGCGTGAGCCAGCACATGTTGTTGTTTGAAAAGTGGCAAGGCGGGAACATTCTCTGCAGACATTATGAGGCACTGTACTAGTAGGCGCATCTCATCCGTCTGGGGGCCGGCCTTTGGCGAGATAGACAAAGTCTGCACATCTGTGCTTTGTACTCGAACAGGATGGAATGCGGTTAGCCTATGAAGATACAAATCCAGTCTGAGTAAATATAACCGGCTTTGCCAGTAATACGTAAGTGTTTCGTAGTCTTTGACTGAAACAAAGTGCAGACTCTGACCATGTGGTGATGGTGGTGGTGGAACCGTAACATTCTGTAGAAATCGCCTCTCTGCCCGAGGATCCTGCAGCTCAAGTAACGATTGCAGCAACGTATACGCATCTAAAAGTAGTGCATGCTGCGGAGGTTGTTGAAGTCGTAGCATCCGCGTTAGCATCACAAGCCGCGGAATGCGTATAGAAAGCTCGTTGCTTAAGGCCTTGAGTCGCTCTCGATCACTATCGCCGCAGCCCAGCCCATCACTAGCAAAGTATGCTCGAGGAATCTTCTCAAACGGCGACGGCACGCCCTGAATGCACGCCATAGTCGAGCTCTCTGCAGCATACCAGTCTAAAATGTCTCTCGCTAGCTGACTAGCAGACTGCACTCTAGGTCTTGCTGTCATGATTGCGGCCAGCCCGTCAATATGCAGACGACTTGGAATGCCGTCTCTCTTAATTGTTCCCTCGAAGGGAGCGAGTAGTGCTATCGCGGCAAGTATATCATCACCCAGCTGCCCAGACGACTGTGTGATATTCGCTTTCACCGCATCGAGCACGGGCGATAGTGCCTGAAAACAGGCTCTGGTAGTTAAGGGAGCTACTCCGCGGGCGTATGCGCTCGCTTGTACGATAGCTTTGACAGCTAAGTCGAGAGCCTGTGTTTGTCCGTAGTAAGCTGGCAAATGCCGGAACCACTCTTGTTCTACTCTCTCGCGGCGAAGCGTGTCGATTGCGTGGATAATCACGATTGTCTCGGACGACTGAGGCTTGTGTAGCACCAGTGTTCCCTTATTCCAGCACCTAACTCCTCCGTTCCCTAGTCTAATGTGAGGATTGATAGATGCGTGAACGACGGACGTGTCACGCTGTGCAGTAGTGGGCTCGTTCGGTAGTGAGGTGTCGATCCAGATGTGCAGCTTCATATCATTGGGCGTTACAGGTTGGAGGTGTGTAGCCGAAATAGTACTACGTTTTGCGCTTGGTCGACCTAGAATCGTCTGTCGGATGACACAACGAATATCTAGTCTTCTGCACCGATAGCAAGGCGTCTGAACCTCCCGGAGCTCCCCATGTCTTGGGATGTCAACATCCTTTGGGAGCTCACACCGGATGCGCCTTTCGCGACAGCCGAGGCAGATAAGGCGAGAATACTTGTTTCTCGGTGGCTTGCCCTCTGGCTGCGACCCTGGCGCCGAAACTGAAATAGTCGAGAACATCGTTGTGAAACAGCGGAACAGGCGGAAAGTGTTCCCGCAAAGGAGTGTGCTGGAAAGTTCCTTCTTGAGATATTACCTAGGTTACGAGTTCCACGGGGCTGAGCCATGACGGGGATCCTAGCTGCGCTCTACCAGATTGAGCGCGGGACTACAACTTTATGCCTTGTACGCCACTCTCTTGGCGTAAGCAGACCATAATTGAGATCCTAAATTCAAGCAGGCCTTTGGCCGATCCTCACTACACTATACCGGATCAAGCGCGGGACTACAGTTTCATGCCTTGTGAGCCCTCCTCCAGTGTACGCGGCCCATGAGCGTAACTTGTATGTATGTGTTAAACTATACCGTAAAAGCCGCGGTTCTACATGACGCTAAATCAGAACTCTTCACTCCTTCTCCCTATTCCATGGCTGCAGTTTGGCCCATCCAGGATGACGGGCACCACATAGCCCGGGTCTGTCTTGGTATCAACGTAGTCAGTCGCTGGTCCGCAAGTAAGCAAGTATCTCATCCAGATCTGCACCGCGAACTATAAAGGAGCTTGTTATCCATCCATTCATGTCTACAATCACACCAATTCATCATTATCTTCTTCTTTGCCATCACTATCATCATGCGGTTCAACTCTATCCTGTTGCCTGGATCTCTTATGCTCTGCATCCCAGCTGCAAATGCTCAGTTGCCAGGGGGCAGTAATTCCAGCAACACGCTTATAAACGCACAACTGGGTCCATACCCAGTGACAATCAATGAGCATGAGATCAGGACCACACGTCAGGACCCTCTTGCGGACTCGCCAGAGCTTCGACGCCTGCTCGTCACCGTGTACCGGCCTCATCTCGACAACTTCACATGTCCAGACGAATATCTGACGTACATCCCATATGGTCCACCTGTCGTCAACGCCGCTATCCTCGACAGCCTAGCTATATATGAGAATTACACTGAAAACAACCAAGTTACAAATCGGTCGACCAAGGCGGAGCCATTCAACCAGGCCAGGCTCCTCAACTGCTCTCGGCCGTTTGAACCGTCGGCCTCCCCTGGCCCAATCGTGGTCTTCTCGCCTGGCGCTAAGGGCGTTCATAACTTCTACACAGGCCTTCTTCAATCGGTTGCAAGCTCTGGCTACACGGTCGTCGCAATTGATCATACCTATGAGTCTATTGCCCAGGTGTTCCCTGACGGAACTGTTGCAATGCAGAGCAAAAAGGCACAAGAGTTCTACGATGTCACACAACCAAACGTGGAAGGTCTACAGCCCATCCGCTCCAGCGACATGACGGATGTGCTGGATGCCATTGAGAATGGCGAGGTGCCTGGCCTCGGACCGTTTACTCAAACTAGCCCTGATTCGACTACGACGAGCGATACAAATTCCTCTGATTCCACAACCAAAAGGCTTCGCGTCGCTGCTTACGGACATTCTCTCGGTGGCAGCACTGCTCAAAACGCGCTTGTCTTTGACAGTCGTGTGATTGGTGGCATCAACATTGATGGTCCAGTCTTCGGGCCGGCAAAAAATGCCTCTACCAGCAAGCCTTTTCTCATCCTTGGCTCGGAAGAACTGTCCCCTGAGATCCTGGCACCCCAATTGTCGGAAATCTACAGCAGCTACAATGGCTGGAAATCATGGACCTGGTTAAACAACACGGCACACTACGGCTTCACCGATATACCTCTGTTTGCGGATGCTTTCAATCTCCGTGGCGATTATTTCCCAAAAGTCTTCACAGGTTCAATCGGGAGCGCACGCAATCAGGAGATCTATTGGCGAATAAGCGTGAGCTTCTTTGATTATGTTTTCAAAGGAACCCAGCCCGATCTGCTGGCTGCTCCTTTGCCGCAGTACCCGGATGTTTCTCTCAAAGCCCATTCAGAGCCTAAGCAGAACATGTGAAGTCCAGGACCTTTCCATGCTTCGGCACAGGTTACATAGAGCGCTGGAAAGCTGTGAGACAAACCTGATTCTGATCCGGTCGAATATACCATATTTAGGCGATAATGCATTTGATTACCTAGTCGGTTGTAAGAGAATTTGAAGACATGTGTAGGCATTTTCATATCTCTAGATATACACGGGATTTGGTACCTACATTTATCTTAGAAAATTATTTTTTACTCTGGATAGCCAATCAATTCGGGAAGTTCGGCTCGACACCACTACCTATAGGCGTTGCTTCGACGTCTTTGCTCGTCCATAAAGTGCCCTTTCTGACTCCTATGACAACAACGGGAGCTGTACCTACTATGGCCAGTTGCGCCAGCCAGCCCATCAAACTCCCCGAGAAGTAGATCTAGTGAAATCACTTGACAGACACGCAACACATTTAAAACTGTAATCTCGACGTAATAAGTACCTCTTACGGGATTGTGACAAGTAGACGGCTGGAGAAATGAGACACCTAACCGAAGCGTGGTTATACATGATTAAAATACTTTCTAAGATGAATAAGGGAATTCGTTAGTATAAAATAATAAAAAAGTAACATTATATACTCCATTTTCTCCCAATTATATCCTATTGGTACTCAACAGTTTGAATAATACCGGTCGCAGACTCAACAACAAATAGCCTAATATTTGAGGATCTCAATTTCAATGTCACCCCCTTGCCTAAGCGGAGCTAAGCCAGCAGTATTCTGCTTATTTAAACAGATTCGCCTACACTAGCCTAATTTGAACTTATTTTAGGCAGACGACGATGGTTAGTTTCATCATTCTGAGACAACTCTCCAGCTGGTGACCTGAGAGAGCCTACCCTAGACCACTCTGTCCCTCTTATTGCTGGTTCTTAGCCACGACATATCCCGGTCCCTTTCTCTTCTTAATAGAAAGTATTGTAATATTATTGTAATATTACCAAAGAAGGAAGAGTCCGGATGCAAACACTGCCGACTTACTGACTGATGATGGGCAATGGTAAACGACCGAACAAGCCCTTAGGAGTTAGATAGTATTAGGGTGTACTACGATCAATATTCTGCCTGGATTTCTTGACCATGTCTCAAAGTAACAATAGAACATTACAAAGGATGACGTATTGGAACAATAGGTTTGGCCCTCCTTGTCTTCCCATCTGCACGCGGCTATGTCTAGTCCCACACAATAATGACTACTTTGCCGAAGATGGCCGATACAAGTGTAGAGGCTTTGCCCACGGCTTTAAGTATTACGCGTCTAGGCCACCGAGTGTTAAAAGTCAGTCCACTGCTTGGAACGAAAAATTGAGCCAAACATTTTTGTTTCCAACAAACCATACCCTAAAATGGCGACAAGGGAACTACCGGCAGTGAGATGGGGTATCATCGGTACGTGACAGTGATGTTATATTTCGGGTTTGCACTGCACTGACACGCTGGAAGCTACGGGACGAATCTCGTCTTGAATCGTCGAGGATCTTGTGATTAACAGACCAGATGCCAAGGCTAGCCATATCATTCAGGCCATAGGAAGCTCTTCCGTAGAGAAGGGAAATGATTTTGTTGCTCGTCATTGTGAGAAGAGTAGCCCCAACGTATACGGGGCGTACTCTCAAGTTTATGATGATCTTAATGTGGACATTGTATACATCGGCACGCCGCACGCGTTCCATAAGCAAAACTGCCTAGATGCGATTGCCAAAGGGAAAGCCGTGTTGTGTGAAAAGCCTCTAACAATGAATGCACGCGACGCGAGAGAGGTGTTTGATGCTGCAAGGGAGAGAGGTGTTTACGTTGCCGAGGCCATGTGGCTGAGACATCGCCCTTTGGTCCACGACCTGAGGAATTTGATCTACAAAGACAAGAGAATTGGAGAAGTCTTTCGGGCTTTCTCGGATTTCGGCGTGGAGATGGACATACCCAATTTGCCGGAGACTTCTCGATACAAGCAACCGTCACTTGGAGCTGGCAGTTTATTGGATTTGGGCATCTATTCGATCACATGGGCGATTCTTGCACTGGAAGAAGAGCCGAGATCTAATCCGAACGATCTCACATTGACTGGAGTACAAACGCACTGGCACGGAGTCGAGGTGACGAGCAGTGCGCTTTTACGTTATGCATCAACAGGCCGTCAGGGTATCGTCGCTTCAACTACCATGACAAACGGGAACCCGGATATGCTGGCTCGAATTCAAGGAACCCATGGATCCATAGAGGTCCATGGCCCTTTCCCTGCGAGGCCAATTTCTTTCACAGTATTTCCTAAGTTTACTGATACATTGGTTGACGGATTGGGGGATGGCGTCGTCATGAGGGGTGAAGGAATCAAGTTCGACTACCCACATGCCGGCAGAGGTTTTCATTTCGAGGCAGATAACACTGCTATCGATTACGTTTCTGGCAAGTTGGAGAGCCCAATCGTGCCGTGGTCGGAGACAGTACGGGTCATGGAGATAATGGATGAACTGCGCAGCCAAGGAGGGACTAAGTATGCCTAAGATCATACTGCGTGATAAATACAACATGAGTCACCTTCTCTAATTTACATTGCTTGTTATCACATGTCTCGTGAGTTCGTGCTGATTTCGTACCCGGACTGGAAATATCTCACCCCGCCGATACCGACGTCCCTTTCATTATTTGGCAACAGCTCGTAGTCGAAAGGATGCTGGCCGAACATCTCCATAGTCCGCATGGCCATCTATTAAGCTATAGGAGATAAACGGTAATACGGCGACACTGTAACTCTTCGGCCATCGTCGCCCGACGGCTCGTAGCGGAGTCTTGCGGGGCACAAGAGGGATGGCCTATCTTATTTACGGCGCACTGAGGACGGGTTTAATGCTACTGCCAGACATTGCGATAACAAGTTGGTTGCGTGCCAAAAAGTAATGTAGATGTCTTGGAAAGAGTGATGATTATAATGCAGGGGCTTCCAAATGGTCAAGCCCGACTACCATTGTCTGGAAACTAACCACCATCACCATGGCTATTCAGCAGCTCTTTGTCGAAGCTTCGCAAGTATCAGTTCGCTACTGGGTTGCTGCCCTCTTCGCACCTTTGCTTGCATATACTCTCGGAACGATTATATACCGACTCGGTCCTTTGCATCCATTTGCCAAAATCCCCGGCCCCTTGCTCAATCGAATTACCTATGCGCCTCTCGTCTGGCATTCCTACAAGGGAGATGAGGCTCAATATGTCCACAAGCTCCACCAACGTTACGGAAACACAGTTCGAATCGCCCCGTCATCTGTCGACTTTACGGAAGTAGCCGCACTGAAGGGCATCTACCTCGAAAAAGGGGGCTTCTATAAGTCCCATTACTACAACAACTTCGACATCGACGGTCACGCCTCAATCTTTAGCAATACAGACTTAGCGAGCCGTGCGGCACGCGCCAAGGTTGTCTTGCCGCTATTCAGCATCACCAACGTCAAGTTAGGCTACAAGCCATTCAAAGACAGCCTCCGCCGATATCTAAAAAGGTTCAAAGAAGAAAAGGAAACTGGCCGTGTCAACGTGTTGGATCTTGCACGGGGCATGTCCATCGACGCAGTCACGGAGTACCTCTTCGGGATTAGGTATGGTGCTTTCAAGGACGAAGAAGAATCTGGAACATCGCCGTCTGTTAATGCAACCTGCGAGCCTAAGATGAGTGCCAGTGACGTTGTGGACAACTTCATCTCAACTTCCCGTCTGTGGTACCTCTCTGTGTGGCTATATAACCTTGCCGATAAGCTTGATGGGATAATATACCCTAACCCTGGCGCCGAGGTGAGCACAGAGATCGTCAATGAGTACGCGGATCGTGTCATTGCAGCTGCGCAGGAGCAAATCACGCAACAAAAGGACAAGTCGCAACTCACATTTCCTGCTCGGCTCCTTCGTGCTGGAATTTCACCAGAGGAGACTCGCTCTCATTGCAAGGATATTATCTTTGCTGGGACGGATACCATCGGCATGAACTTGGCAACCGTGTGCTTCATGCTCGCCAAATACCCTCGTGTCTACGATAGGCTGCATGAAGAAGTGAATAGTGCGGAGATCGAGAAGGAGGAAGACATTCAAGTGCTCCCGTACTTGAACGCTGTCGTAAAGGAGGGACTGCGGATGAGCATGACAAATCCTTGTCGTCTGCCCCGGGAGGTCCCAGAGAGAGGATGGACGTACAAGGAGACGTACTATCCTCCTGGTACTATCGTGTCTTGCTCAGCTTATGAGATGCACTTCTCTACCGAGATGTTTGAGAAGCCATTCGAGTTCATTCCTGAGAGATGGGACTCTGCGACAGATGACATGAACAAGAGCATGATGGCCTTTGGTCTAGGCAATCGTCAATGCATTGCCAGGGGCATGTCGATGCTTGATATGCATGATGTTGTCTATCACTTGGTCAAAGAGGATGTTCTACGAGGCGCCAAACCCGTAAAAGAGCGCATAGAGATTCTTGAAGGCTTCTCATCCAAGGTTGTTGAAGGTCATGTTGATTTGGTGTGGGATAGTTGAAAGAGTAAGAAAACAATTATTGGGTAGTGTATTGAGTAAATACAATGTAGTGAATGATTGGATCTTCCATATTGATCGTGATAAAGTTGACTTTGGCGTAACTCCCTGTCGCTAACAATATAACTTGATAATAGACCTTTCATTGTGCTTATTGCGTTAGAACAACACAAGGCAATTATAAAATATAGCAAAAGGGGCACGACATCAGTTTATTGACTTCTAAGCTACAGATCTGACTTGTCTCGTGCTTTGTCATAACGCACAACCGCCCCAAGTAACACGTCTGCTGAAGCGATGCAATCTTCAGGGCTGCAGTATTCGTCTGGAGTGTGGCTCATTCCCTCTCGCGTCACCGCAAAGACCATAGCAGATGGGCATCTCTTGCTTGCGTTACAGCTATCATGACCAGCACCGCTTGTCAAGTGCGTCCATAGCTTTCGACCAATAGCTGTTTCTTCAAATCGAGCGCAAACTTCGTCGGCGGACTCCTCGATAGCGGCAATGCAACCCTTATCGAACTGTACTGCCACATTTTCTGTGAGGGTGGTCCACTTCACTTCAACACCACGCTCACTGTCCTCCTCGGCCACCTTTTTGAAAACCTCCCGGCAGCGCGAGACCATCTTGGAGAGTTGCTCGTCGCTTGGGTGGCGCGCATCTAGAGTAAACCGCACAGTATGTGCCATGGTGTTGACGCTGCCCGGCTCAGCACGCATGATACCCGTGGTGACGAGACCAGAAAACTCCTTGGCTGCCTTGTTTGATTCTACTATCATCTTGGATGCAGCTAAAAGTGCATCTCTGCGCGCAGAGAGCGGAGTCGTTCCAGCATGGCTATCTCGACCCTTGACTTCGATCTCATACCAGTTATATGCCTGGGCACCGGTAACAACACCAACTTTGAGACCTCCGTCTTCCAATATAGGCCCTTGTTCGATGTGAATTTCAAAATGGGCAGCCATTGGCTGTGCAGAATATGAAGCAGGTACTTCGCCGAGGAACCCGATCCGTTCAAGCTCTTGCTTGAGAGTTTGCGGCTCCTGACCAGCAGTTGGTGTTACCTCCTTACAGTTCCAAGCGGTTTCAAGTGGGATCTCCCCCGCCCAAACCGCTGAGGAGACGGTCACCATAGGAAAGCGGGCGCCCTCTTCACTAAATTTTATGTCAAAATACGTGAGGCAAACTTCCAGAAGCACGACTTACTTGGTCCAGTTCACCAACCCCATAGGGCCTTTAGTTTGATATCCATGGTCATGTAGCGTTCTCAGGACCTCTAGACCGGCAATCACGCCGAGAATACCATCATATCTTCCGCCCGTTGGCTGGGTATCAAGATGAGAGCCCATCATGATAGGTGGGATGGAATTGTCAACCCCGGGTCGGATTATGAACATGTTGCCCATCTGATCGACCGTAACTCTGCAACTAAGGGCCTCTGCTTGCTCTATCAACCAGTGCCTCACTCTTTTATCATCGTCATTGAGGGCTAAACGAGCCATGCCCGTCTCCGTCTCATGTCTACCCTTCCCATCAGCCTCCAAGTTGATCTTTAGTATATGATGGTACTTACGCTCCCCAGGGATGCGCCTTCCCAAACTCACATGTTGAATGGAGCGTCTCCATCAATCTGGTTCCATTAACCCTCAGAGGGCAGGTCCTTTCATTAGAAGACGAGGCGGTTTGATGCGACATTGTAAGAGAATCCGGTCGTGTCACTCAAAACAACAAGTCTTGCGAACGTCGTTTTACTACTCTATTGCTCTTGAATCTTATTATAAACCCCCTGAATACATCTTCACATTATGGGGTGGTCAAAGCGGAAATTCGGGTTAGGTTCCATCCAAGGGGGCGGCCAATGATCCCGATGTTGGGCGATGCTCGGCCATATGCAACGGTTGATTGGACTAATAGATAGGGCTTGAACACGGCCACCAGTTTTCGGCCATCTAGCTCTAGACTTTTAGTCGGCCGCCGATAGCCCCTCAGTTTTACTCTCCTCCTCATGAGACACCTCAATATCTTTCTAGATGCTTTGACTTCATAGGCTTGATGGGATTAGAGGATGATGGCTACTAATCGCTCTCCTCGTCAGCTTCCTTCATACCTTTCATATGACTTCCTATATGATCGTAGACGTCTAAACAACCTTCTAAAACCAATCTACTCCGCCAATGCCCCTAATCACCTCTCACATGCGGGCGAACTCAGACTGTGACAGAAAACAGGTGGTAAAATTGACAGTTATTTGGCGCTGATCAATACCGTAAAGCTGCCCATTTATTCTGGATATTCAAGTTGCATAACCTTAAATAAAGTAGAAAGTTTGAAAAGGCGCTAAAGTCATATGATTCATATGTTAAAGTCATTGTTTACGTGCCCGTTCCTGACATGTCAGCCAGGCAGCGGCAATATCCTCGCACTTGCAAAACTCCACCGCCTCACCAAAGCCCTTTAGCCAGCCAATGAACCGATCAACCATTCCAATAATGTGAGCCAGCCCAGTTACGTCGGGATGAACGAGGATGGGGAAAATGAAGTCGGCAGCGTCGGTGCCCTCGAGAGTGCCTTGCTCCCAGAGCCACATAAACTTGTCCTTCCACATTTGCTCGACGACTGATGTCGACACGTAGCCCATACTGTTGGGGAGGTGAGGAAGATACATCATCGGCATCATATCTTCATTATACCAACCGCAAGGTAACTCAACCAGGGGGTGCTGGCCCTCAGGGTATCCTTGCGAGGCAATGGCTGAAGGCTGCAGCCACGATGAAGCTGGCTTGGACCAGTCAATATGCTTAATTGGGGGATCATTTGGTGTAAAGTATGGCTGAGAGTCGTGATGCATTAAAGATGAGTTGTAAAGGAATCCATGCTCTCTCAGCAGCTTGACCGTAGTCTCCCGAATGGTGTACATGGGAGCGCGATAACCCTTGGGCTTCTTGCCTGTGAGCTTAGTTGCAACATCGATACTGGAACTCACTGTCAGCCAAAGATTCAATTGGAAGATAATATTGTCTCACTTACCACTTCAGCAAGACCTCACGCTCCTGTTCTTCAGTCATTTGATAGATGCCCTCATGGGCGTAACCGTGCAGCGCGACCTCAGCACCAGCCTCAACCACAGCTTTGGCGGCATCAGGAAAAGTCTCTGCTGTATGTCCGGGGATAAACCAGGTCATCTTATTGGCAATGTCGTGCTTCTTAAATAAGCGAAGAAGACGGAATACACCAACCTGGCCGGCGAATACGCCAGAGCTATAATCAGCCATGTTATTGTCTTTGTGGCAGCCTGTTCCAAGCCAATGTGATACCGCGTCAAAGTCTACTGAAAATGCGATTTTGACCTTGCGAGAGGGAGGTGTGGGCTGCGGTACCAGAGCAGTTGAGGGCGCATCGCCATCAACAATTTGATACTCACAATCCATGGGTGTACCACCGTTGACGGGATCTAAGTCTTGAGGGCATGAACTCATCACGATAATCAGATCCTTCTCAGCTCTGAAGGCAACATACTGGCCTTTCTGACTGACAGGTGCTTTAATTGAAATGTTCCCCTGGTGATCGATAGGAATGTTCATGAATAGATTGAGGGGATCAGGGACCCAGTCATCGGCGATAGAGAATTTGGAAAAGTTATCCTTAAGAGCCTATCGAAGCATGTTAGTGGCCATAGATGCAAAAACCGGCGAATTTCTACCCTCTATATAATTGAAGTATCACGGACCTTGTGCATATTGTCGGTACAATTATCATGGTATCCCTGGAAGCTTTGCATACGATACCTCTCCTTGTCACAAGCGGACCAGATCATATCGTGCACTCCGGGAGAAGTATCCTCAACCAATGTAAGGATTGGCTGCCGCCGGGTGCTGTACAGCTTGTCGCCCTTGGCAATGGCAACTTTGAGCAGAATCGTTCTGCAGTGTACCATTGATAGAAAGTCATTAGGGTCAGCAGGGTTGAATGCCCAAAAGTCGACCACCTGCTGCCCAAAGGTGTTGATAACCTTGACAGTCTGGCCGGCCTTGACCTCAAAGGCCACAGCTTGACGAGCAGGGATGATAGGCATAATGTAGTGTGTTCTGTAGCTCACTGTTTCTCGCCTAATTTCCTTTCCAAATAGCTGGGAGGTGACGATTAATTCTGAGATGTTTTCTCAAGCGAGGCGCACGGTGATCAAACTCCCCAGCTCAAGATATACTTGACCTTGAAACGGTGATCCGGTAGTCCGCAGAGCTATGAGGTGCGATGGCTATTTCGAGTTGGCCGGGCACGCTATGATGGCCGAAGGCAGATGCAGTACCCCTCATGCGACATGGCCGTCAAAGCCGAAAGGTTACCCTATCATGTGATTAACTACGAAAGGGGGGACCTATCAAAGTAGATCTCGGGGATACAACGGTTGTAATAAGGTACGATATGTGTTGATCTCACTGCCACGTACTCTCTGGAGTCTTCCGGGGTTCAGATGGCCGAAAGCCGCCGCCTTTCTTACCATAATACCACATTACTTCGCAGTAGCAGCGATACCCAGCGAGTTTCATATTTCCCAACATGACAAGAAAAGAGAGATATTTCTGCCTGTCGGAGGGAGGCCAGCCTACTTATAGTTACGAGCCCAAGTAGGTACATGTAAATATTACAAATCGCACCCACAGTTGCCATCGAGCGATAACCAGGCTCCCTTATAATATATTTTTAGTTTCTATATCTATTTTCAGAGGACCAAATTATAGGGATAATCTAGTCTTGACTTTTTCATCAGACATTCGTAAATATTGATCATGTACTTATGCACGAATTTCGTGGCAATGAGCAGTTTTAACAACGAGAAGCTCTAATTCGTCCCTTTGGGACTATTCTATTTATTCCTTTGTAGGCTTCCAGCTCACGCCGGTTCCAAGTGCTATATCTATCTTGGCCGAGTTTCGAGACATCTCCTCTCCCATCCAGAGATGATCGGTCTTGTCCAAGTCCTCCTCAATATCCCAGCCCTCACCACCCTCCACGTACACCGCGATCCCTGTCGCAACAGTGCCGTCGGGCTTCTTCGGGGTAGAAGCGAGCGTCAGAACATGTTCCGCTACATGATAAGCTTCATTCACTGGCAAGCCATGAGCCACCCAAAGGTCATGGACAGCGGACCCCATAATGGTATTAATATGGGATGGGTTGACCATATTGATACGAATGCCGTATTTCTTACTCATCAGACTCTTGGTGCTACGGAACAAACCCATAACACCATGTTTAGTAGGTCCGTAGACAAAGAGGCCGGCCTGCTCCTTGAATGATGCGATGGAGCCGACGATAGTCAGTGATTTGTCCTTGCCATTCTCATTGCCTTGTCTGAGATATACGGCAGCAATACGGGCAAAGTATAAGACACCAGTGAAGTTGACGTCGATGATAACGGTAGGAGGCGGGGCCTCAATGGTGCCAAGATTCAGACTCTCGTCATACCAGTTCAAGCTCTCAGTAACTGCTGCGCATGAGATGGCATGGTCGACCCTTCCATGGGTTTTGTAAGCAGCTTTGAACAAAGCCAAGTTGTCATCATACTTTCGGGCATCAAATGGGATAGCCACGAGACTGTTGGTAGCGGAGGGATTTTGCGCTCTCAAGGCCGCAATCACTTTGTCGGAGCCATCCTGGTCAATGTCGCCGAAGAAAACATGCGCCCTGGCGGCGAACAGATATCGAACGATCGACTCTGCAACCCCTCGTGCGCCACCTAAGATAATTTAGTCTCTATACTTGACCGCAGTACCCCTCCTTCCCGTGGACAGGGGCAGATGTGGCCACGTACCAGTCAACACGAAGACCTGGTCTTTCAAGGCTTCAAAGGAATTGGGGTTTCGATGGTAGGGCGGCATATTGGCTTGATGGTAATTAGAAAATTGTATCGATAATGAAATCAATGACGTTGTTTTCTTTTTATCAGATCATTGTTTGCAATTCGAGACAGCGTATTCCTCCCGTAGAATAGACTCTTTAAAGCCAGCCATTAAAGCCAGTCAGTTTCATTCAATGGCCGATAGAATCTTGCCCGACAAGGGGTTATTTCTCAGGCTAACTTACGCCCTGCAGGTGGGCTATCTTGCCCAATGACTGGTTTCCTAGTCCATGATGGAGCAATGCCGACGGCCAGTCGCGCCAGAGTAATGGCCGAAGCAAGATAGCCGAATGATTAGACCCGCCTCGGCGAACAACCGGCGGCGCTGGGGAATTTAGCTTCTCGGGCTTAGGTTGTAAATTCCACTTGAAGCTGTATTGATAATCATCATCTCTATAGCAAGTTTGACTATTGACTGTAGATTAGAGGACTTGTACCTGAGGAGTTGCGACACAATAGGAAGAAGCATGGATTCACCGTCACCATTCCCATTAGGTCGATACCTTGCCAATGGCAACCGTACCGACCCTCCATTGCTTCCCAATGCTCCCACAACTGGCTTCAAGTTCAACCATATGATGATGAGAATCAAAGACCCTGCTCGCTCCTTAAATTTCTACATCACATTAATGGGCATGCGGACAGTTTTTACAATCAATACCGGGCCTTTCACAATTTATTACCTAGGATATCCACAAACAGATGCCCATCGCGCTGATCTGAAAGCATTTGGTGAAGAGACTGTGCCTAGGCTCGCACATACTCTCGGACTGCTGGAATTGTATCATGTCCACGGCACAGAGAACAGTCCAGGGGAGATATCCACTGGTAACCACCCTCCAAACCTAGGATTCGGACACTTGGGCTTTTCCGTTCCTGATGTTTCATCAGCGCTGGAGCATCTTGCAAGCCATAGCGTGGAGGTTTTGAAACCACTCGGTGCTGCTTCCCGCTCTGATGTTCCCTTGAGTCAGTGGGAGGCAGACCGTGGTCTTGGTGTGGGCGAGCTGCACCCTACGTATCAGGCAGTCTTTAAGCAAATTGCCTTTGTGAAAGACCCCGTAAGTAGTTCCCAAAAGTTCTATTCAATTCAAATGTCGCTAACATGTGCTCAAACAAGGATGGTTACATCGTCGAGCTTGTCCCTCAGGAGATGAACGCACTGGACCCTTGATAAACAATAACATCGGCACTTCACGTCAACACGTGCCTACACATTTCAGACGCATCTTAACACGGGTAACCACTCATCCAAATAAACCCAACACGGGCTTCTCAATGTACAAAGTGAATGTATCTTTCCATCTCAGTGTCGTCGTAGTCGAGTAAGATAGGCCAATTATTGCCTTCCCTTTCCCTCCCGAACTTGTCAAGCGACCGACATGAAACATGACACAGCAACGCTCTTTTCACGCTAGTCAGGGACTTTTTTTCTTATTAATAATACTGAACGTGATAATATGTCGATTATAAATTATTCTTTATCATTTAGTTCGATATTGTATTCATTATTGGGTTAATTGCTTTGATATTGTGTTGAAATTCAACGCTGGAAGTTCCAGATGCGCTATGATCAACGGCAGTCAGGCCCTGTTAACAAAGGTTGCACGACACCGTTGGTCTTGGTTTAGCATTTTCTTATCGGGTAATTGCAAGGATGGCTAGACTCATCAATCATGTCTTCTTGGTACTTACGACTGTGGATAATGTCATCCGAGGCGAGACGCTGGCGTAAATACCAGCTCAACGTGGCTTTACGCCTTGGTGGACCATGTCATTGGCCTAGAGATGGCGAGGAAGAGTTGCTGGCGCAATCAGGTGGTGTGCTGAACTCGTTGCCCCCAGCATCCTTGTTCAAGATAGGCTTTCTGGGCTGGCTTGATAAAGATATGAGATATGACTCGCGTTATCTGTGTTTGTTAACCTATCTTCGGCCGTTGTCGGGCGCCATCGGCATCCCCCCATTCTGCTACACCTGATTCCCATCGCGATTCACTGATGATAGAGACAACATGCAGCTGTGATGCATATAACAACTTCATGCATACAAGACATTCCGCAATCCACCAATTGGCCCATGGCTCTCTCGTATTCTAACATGGCTGACCAGACTGGCGCGCCCTTGTCGAAAGCCACAAGTTCCGCGGCATCAGACCCCAAAATGAAGCAACCAGTTGATTCTCAGCAGGTTCAGGTTAAGACTGAGCCGCAAACAGGGGAGGTTGTCGACATCGAGGCTGGGTTCCTAACCAAGACTCGAATATGGATCCAAAAGGTCGGTGCTGAAGAATCCGGAATCGAGCGCATTCCTGAAGATGCTCGCATCAAGCAGAGCCCATGGTCTCTGTTCCTAGTTTTCTTCAGTGCCAACTGCTGTACAGCGACTCTTGCACTTGGGTATCTGGGCCCCGCAGCCTTTGGTCTTGGATGGTGGGACTCTTTCCTGTGTATCCTCTTCTTCAACTTGCTGGGCTCCTTGTTCCCAGCTGCCGTCGCCCGTTTCGGCAACCGAACTGGCCTTCGAACTATGGCTGTGCCTCGTTACTCCTTCGGATGGTGGCCAACCAAAGTCTTGGCCGTTCTCAATATCATCACACAAATCGGGTGGGGTATTGTCAATGACCTCTCTGGTACCTCTATTCTCTACGATGTTGGCGACGGTAAACTACCATCGGCAGTTTGCGTTGTCATCATTGGTCTCATTGCGATCATTGTTGCCGCCCTAGGTTACAAGTATATTCATATCTACGAAAGATACTCTTGGATATTCATGTGCATTTGCTTCGCGATTCTCGCTGGCTTTGGTGCCAAGGAATTTGTCAACCTACCAATGGGCACTGGCCAAACAGAACTGTCTGCTGTCCTGGGCTTTGGTACCGTAATCTTCGGCTTTGAGATTGCCTGGGTCCCGATCGCCGCTGATTATAATGCCTACATGGAGGAGCATACCAGCGACTGGGCCGTCTTTGGCTGTGCATACGGCGGCCTCTTTGTGGGCCAGTTCTTCATTGAGATCCTCGGAGCTGCCGTTGGTACTCTCATCTTGAGCCCCGATGTCCGTTTCCAAGAAGCATACGATCGGGCCGGGATGGGCGGTCTCATGGGTGCTATCTTTGCTGGACATGGCGATGGTGTTCGAGGGCTGGGCAAGCTCGTCGAGGCCATCCTCTCCCTGTCAACGGCCGCTGTCATTGTTTGCGGTATATACTCCATCGGACTCAGTGCCCAGCTTATATCAGAAAAGGCTCTACGAGTCCCTCGCATTATCTGGTCACTTCTTGGCGGCACCATCTTCCTGGTTTGTGCCATTGCCGGTCGAGACCATCTCGAGGCTGTTATGACCAATTTCCTCAACATGTGCGCATATTATCTAACACCGTTCACGACGGTCATTCTTGTGGAGCACTTTGTCTGGCACCGAGGCTGGGACTATAACCTCGAGGCTTGGAATGATAGGAATCAGCTTCCATTTGGAATTGCGGCTTCCATCAGTGCCATTATTGGGACCGTCATCGCCTTGATGTGTATGAGTCAAACTTGGTGGATTGGTCCTATTGCCCTTGCCATCGGTGGCTCGGAGGCTGGGACTGATATTAGTTGGATGCTTGCTCTCGGCGTGACCACAGTCTTGTATATTCCTCTTCGGTATTGGGAGCTGCGCAAATGGGGACGATGATCTGCTACCCAAGATACTTTTGCCTTTATCTTCTCTTCTTTCTGGAGTAGCGTTATATTGAAGTAATATAATTGTTCTAACTTTTCATAGCCAGATAATAGCCTTATCTACCGTAGATATAACGGCTAACTGAATTCCATTATACGATTTGCTTCCTACTTTCCATTCTTCGGGGTATTTGACAAAACTCTTGAATACAAGCTGTTGAGACTACTCATTGCTCCAAACAACAGAAGCCATGTAGGCTTCTATCCCATCTTCCATTATGAAGCATAATACGAGTAAATCTGTTGCAGCCAATTCAATCATCTATTGATATCTACAACAAGCCTTTCTCAATGTAAACAGCCTCCTCGAATGCCTTAATAACAGGTAATACAATAGGATCAGATGGCGGCAAAACTTGAGTTCCAAACACCCCACAAACACCGGCATTTCGATCGATGAACTAATATTGGCCTGATTAGCTTGTTCATTTCAATTGAACAAGGCGACTTTCAACATACCCAAAAGACGCTTGGTGCGCCACTCCACAAAAGAGTATTCCGACGGCGATATGGGTGTGAATCGCCGTCAATAAGCAATCCACCTAGACCCCAGTCGTACTCTTTCGTCTTTGGTATATCGCCAACAGTCCAAGTAGCTGATTCTAGTTCTTGAATCAATGCTACCTTCGAAGCTGGCGATAAAGACGGCTTGAACATGAGAGCAGTTGTCTTACGTTTGAGTAATGCCTCGTCATCCAGGAGGAGAGATCGGAGAATTTTCATATAGTCGGGTAGATTGATGAACAGTCCTTGCCCACCAAAGCATTCCTTGAGCCCCGTTGTGAAGCTTGTCGCTTCCGGATCAGGGACTGTGCGTGTGTTTCCATGTTCTCTTACTGCCATGGGGGGAGGTTTTCCGCCCCAAAATGACGCACTAGAGATTCCGAGAGGATGAAAGATGTATTGCTTGAAATAATTTTCCAGCGTCAGTTTAGTCAGTTTCTCAATGATCTGACCAACTTTGTCGAGACTGTTGCTGTATCGCCACCCTTCACCGGGCTCATATGACAGCGGAAAGTCAAAGTTAGAGTTAATCGTCCCATTCGACATATATCCAGGTGAAACGTCAACGAGTTTAGCAATCCGGTCATCGGTGAATGTATAAGCTCCCCCGGCAGAGTGAGTGAGTAGGCGGTGCAGAGTTATTGCATTGTGGCGGGGGTGAGATGCATAGGAACCATCATCATTGACATCGCTGTCCAAGACACCTCTTTTGCTAAACTCCGGGATAAGATGTGAGACATCATCTTCCAGGCGGATGAGGCCTCTTTCCACAAGCTGCAAGGCAGCAATAGTGGTGATAAGCTTTGTCAAAGATGCAACTTCAAGGACGGTTTCGTCTGTATATGTTGAGTCCAGCCCAGATACTGCTTTTGAGTATCTCAATTTACCTGTCAAAGAGCTTAGCCATACACGAATGTCTAAAATAGAACAATGGCGTGTAAATATTACTACCTGCAATATCATTTGCAAGAAAGATTGCTCCGGGGATCACTCCATCCTCCACCGCTTTAGAGACTACCAATTCATAGGCTTCCATGCCTGAACTTTGCATCAACTGGGTTGAATATACTCAGTGTAGCACTCATAAATCTACTAAGTGTACCTTGTAGTTATACCAAAAAGTCCACCCCATCGGTGGAGATAATGTGAACCATTTCGGCCGAGGAGCCACCATTCGGAAGTTATCGTTATGCCTAGGTAACCCCGCTAACCCATTTGCTAGCTAAACCATCGAAGTTCCAGCTTCGTGGCCGGACAATGTCAGTGCGGTATCTCCTGCTCATTCCCATAGCTCAGTATCCGCATTGTCCTAGATCTCCACACAGGGAATGGGATCCTTGGTTGGGGTTGGCCTAAATCAAGACGTCAACTCCACCGTTATCTTTCGTCGGCCGTTGTTAGTGGTTCGGCCAAGATAAGCCTCGTCGGCCATCTCCCATGTGAGCTATTGTTCCTGGCGGCCAACTCCCCTAAGATACCCCGGTGCCCGACTCCTTCATACAGAAGTTTCGCCTACCAGCACGGCACCCTCACCTCAGATCTATCATATCAACTTGTCATTATCACGATGAACGGCCGAAAGTCTACAGGACAATCCTTGAACCGGCCCTACAGGTCCAAGCGTCACCGGCCGTGCGATGTCTGCCGTCGCCGAAAACATGCCTGCCATCTTGAGGACCAGGCTCCTTGTAGGATCTGTCGAGAACTGGGCACAGAGTGTACTTTCAATGAGCCTCCAACGAAACGGAGACGCCCACCAAGATTGCCCACTTCTGCCTCCACGCCTGAGGGTGAAAGGGATCCAGATAGTGGACACTATGACCAGAATAGCCATGCTGGGTCTGAGATTGAGGCTTCTGTACCCAATGACTGGGCTCCTGGACAGGAAGTGGCTGAGGACTGCCCCGATTATACGATAGAGATTAACCATCTAGGCAACCTGGGCGACTCTGTTAGTACCGAGATGTTTCAGACTTCTCACCACGATATCTGGTACGCTACCTCTGGTCTAACTGAGCCTGGTCTGGGAAGTCTGTCGGCCGCATTTGCTGAAGGTATGGGGGGTGTTGACTTTGCTCCGGATGACCTATTCCCCCTGATCAACCAATTTCCTATCCCAGAGGCACAACAGGACTTCCCCAGCCTTCGGGTACCAGAGCAAGGCGGTAACCGAACAGTCCAACGTTCGAACACCCCTATTCCATTGCAGCCACAGCCAACCAGAGCCCTTGACTCACATGATGAGACTTTGTCAGCCCAGCTCTTCGGTCCATCTGGCGAGATGGACCCATATCTTCTAAGGCATGTTAATTTCTCGGAAGATGGAAGCTGTAATTTTGGCCGATTCCAATACCGGTCCCTCTTCCAGACGCAGACAGGAGAACTTAGCCAGCCAAACAGTTCCTTTCCGGTCCACTTTCTTATAAGTGCCCCCAAACAGTCTTCGAATGTGCCAACCGAACACTCTATCGGCGATACGGATCAACGAAAAGAGCTCAATAAAATTGTTGATCCAGATTTGGGAGCACGATACATTGGGTTGTAGGTTACCACAGCACTCGAAAATGTCTGTACTTGCATATGCTGATTCCACCAAGGTTTCTTCGCTACACGTTTCCCAGCCTCCCCGTTCTGTCTCGTAGTAAGCTGAAAGTCAGGACTGAGACTCTAGTACCTCAAGCAAACACCCTCGAAGGGGTCCCTCCTTACCTTTTGGCCGCCATCTACGCCGTGGCAGAGTCGTTTCGCCGCTATGATCCAATATTGAACGTCTCCCAGACAGATGTGGATTGCCACAAAACCTTGTTGTGGGAGATGGCCTATCGGGGAATACTAGAACACATGCACGCACCATCCCTAGTTCTTGTACAAGCATTACTCATATATCTACAAAGACCTATGGGAGAGGTAATGACGGCATCCACAGACTCCCCGGGGCAATGGTCTCTATTAGGGTTTGCGATAAATGTTGCCAATCAGCTTGGGCTTCATCTGGATTGCCAACTGTGGCCAATTCCAGACTGGGAGAAACGACTTAGAAGGAGGTTGTGGTGGATGATACATACCGAAGCCACCTGGCGAAGCTTACTCTTAGGACTTCCTCTTCCTATCCATAGCGACCAGTGGGATGTATCACCTCTTGACGAGTCAGACTTCGTCATTGATCACTTTTTGTGCCCCAATGAGGAGACCGCCGCACAAGCCCCTGCTCTTCAAAAGCCTTGTGCCTTTTGTCATGGCGGCTATGATTTCCGTTTTCTTGCTGAACTTTCTCTGATCTCCTATGACTTATACATGGACTTCTTTACCTTACGTGCAACCAACGCGCTTTCAGTCGATTTTGAAACGTCTCTCAAATATGGGAAGAGGTATTTGGCAAGGCTGGATGACTGGCATGCCCAACTCCCGAAGCAGATGGCGGTATATTCAGTCTCCGCCCCACAACATCGTGATTACTTCCACCCCGGTTCAGCAGCTCATATCAAACTCGCCTTCTTGACTTTGAAGGCCTTGACATACCGAGCAATATTCCGACCAGTAGCAAATCTTTCATCCCAAGGCTATTCCAGAACGGATAACAGTCAGCGAAGCAACCCTTCTCCGCAAGCTTCAATGATCGGAGTTGGAAATCCTACAACTCCGACAACAGTCAATGCCACCTTAGCGATACTTCAAGATGCTCTCACCACAGCCCAGGAGGCGAGCCAATTTGCACAAAGCTTGGGGTCTTACGACAGAAATAGCTTCTCGCGATCATGTAAGTGTCAAACTTGACATATCAGGATTCCGCATTTCCCTGTTAATTTGTATCGACTTAGGGTCCCGGGCGTGTTATGCCACAATTTCAAATTTCATTATGCTTCTTCTCGTACTAGCCCCCACGGCTGCTTCTGCAAAACAGGTACTCGCCGCACTGTCTCGATGGGTCATCACTCTGCGGGAACAGAGCGTCATGTTTGAAACCATGCAGCTAGGACTTCTGAGACTAGATGCAATGTTCCGTCTTGGTTTAGAAAAGGCATTACATCTCACCTCGCATGTTAAAGAGAGCGTCCAGAAGGAGAAACCAGCCCCGAGTTACAAGAATTAAAGATTTTCTTTCTTGACCACTGTAACTCACGACGCCGGGTTTTCAAGTTAGATCTATATTGTCTCAGTTGTTGTCTTAGCTACTGACATAAGCAAGACATGAACATCGAATGAACGTAACAACAATGAACTGATTGCTTTGATCGCACAGAAATACAACATTTGCTGGCCTAGAGCCCTTATTGACTGACAAATACAAGCATAAGTTAGCTCTCTCATTCAGCTTGTCGATCAATATATTTTCAATATAGGGTAAATTACCAACAATGCCTGATTAAAATGTTATCGTTCGGATCAATTGACCCCCAGTATCTCACTATGAGCGGGTTCCCAGGTGTAAAAAGATAAGAATCATCATACGACTTTTCGATCCATAACCCTTCGATCAATGGCACAGGATAGCGTTAGATAACACGATCGGCCTCTGCTATCCAGCATGCAACCCATCGACCCATTTTGGCCGATGGTGGCCGCTGACAAGTAACATCGGCCAAAACAAACCAATCAGCTCGATGATTTTAAATGGCCAAGCATAATGACCACATGTAGAGCATGGTCGAATGATAAAACGAACGCGTTGGGTGTGAGTAACAGGAAGTAGTTTCAGCCTTACTACAAGCATCGTTTTGCCACAGATCATTCTCATTGCTCCAAATATCAGCCTCAAAATGAACGGCGACGCTCCAACAGCATTCAACCTGCAAGAAAAAGCCGTCGATGACGGTCGACCCATCCGCGTTTTGATCATTGGTGCCGGTGTTTGCGGCATAGCCCTTTACATACGAATCCTCCAAAACGTGCCAAACGCCACTGTCACCATTGTGGAGAAGAACTCTGCTCTGGGTGGAACTTGGTACGAGAACAAGTATCCCGGCGTGGCGTGTGATATCCCCAGTCACGTATACCAATATTCCTTTGAACCAAACACGGACTGGTCCAAGCTCTTTTCGCCCGGTGCTGAGATCCTAGAATATGTCAAGGGTGTCGCTCACAAGTACCGAGTAGACGAAAAGATCAAGTACAATACGAAGGTGATTGGAGCCGAGTGGGTTGAGGAGAAGAGCTTATGGGTCGTGAAGACGGAGGATACGACCGTCAATGAAGCCGTTGTGAGCACTACAGAGGCAGAAATTGTCATCAGCGCTGTTGGGATCTTGAATAACTGGAAGTGGCCTGAAATTGAAGGCCTCCAAGATTTTGGTGGCAAACTACTCCATTCCGCCCACTGGGATACTGACTGGTGAGTATCCGTTCCATAATGGGGTGGTCGAAACTAACAATTCCAAAGGGACTACACTGGCAAGACCGTTGCGCTATTGGGATGTGGATCTTCTGCAATCCAAATCCTTCCTCATTTGCAGAAGAAATGCCCACAGGTATACAATTTCATCCGAGGCGGTACATGGATCAGCCAACCCTTTGGATCGACTTACACAGAGAAGATTCTCGCCAACAGCACCGAGCCTGGGAACTACTCTTATACAAAAGAGGAGATTGAGCGTTTCCGAAACGACCCAGAATACTATCACAATTTCCGGAAGGAGATGGAGAGCTTCATCAACAAAGACTTCCCCTCTCTATTTCCTAGGTCCGCTGAAGAAATCGAGTCTACAAACAAGATTCGTGACAACATGAAGAGGAAGCTCGCCTCTAAGCCCGAGATTTATGAGGCTCTAGAACCTCGATTCACTCCCGGCTGCCGTCGCTTAACACCCGGCCCCGGATACCTTGAAGCCCTAACCAAAGATAACGTGAAGCTCATCAAAACTCCAATTGTCCGTGTGACTGAAAAGGGAATTTTGACTGAAGATGGCTCTGAGTGGGCCGTGGACGCAATTGCTTGCGCAACTGGCTTCGACACCAGCTACAGGCCTCGATTCCCCATTATTGGCAAGCATGGAAAGTCTCTCAATTCATTGTGGGAAAAGCGAGCATCAGCGTACCTCTCTCACTCCATTCCAGGCTTTCCCAACTACTTCATTGTCGGAGGACCGAACAGTGCCACCGGTGGTGGATCTCTCTTGCTTATCCTTGAATCCGTCATTGGATACGTCATCAAGGCGGTTCAGAAAATCAGCCGAGAGAACATCAAAACTATGGAGGTCAAGAAGAGTGCTCTAGATTCCTGGGTTGATCATCTGGATAAGTATTTCCCAGGCACAGTCCACGTCGACGAGTGTACCAGCTGGTATAAGGTGAACAACCAGATCATCGGCCTTTGGCCGGGTAGCAGTCTTCACGCGATGCAGACTCTCCTGCACCCTAGATGGGAGGACTATAACTACGAGACTGCGAACACCAGAGGGGAGCTAGAGTGGATCGGAAATGGTTGGACCTATGAGGACGTTAAACGGGGAAATCTTGGGTATTATGTCGACCGCGTCGACATACCACCAGTACCCTCCGATGAAGTGCTTTCTAGACAGCCTTAGGCAAATAGCTACTCCTGTTGAACTTCAGTCCCTTTCAACCAAGCTCTTTACACGTGCGGTCTATAAAATGTCAATCAATTGAGTAAGGTACTAACTAGTTGGCTTGCAAGTCTTGACCATCGATCGGCTTTCGGCCTCGTAGGAGAGTGCTACTTACCTCCAACGTTCTAGAACTCAAGGTCACTGTAAAGAAGAGCAGGCGTGTTACAATCCAACGATGCATAACTTGAATAAACATGTTCTGAGTATCTTTACTCTCCATTCTCGATATTTATCTGATTAGATCTTGGGCCTCTCGGTGGTCCACGCCGCTCCAACACCAAGCACTCGATTTATCTCAACACAGTTGCGAGCCATTTCAGCGCCCATCCACTCTTCATCAAGTCTATCAAGCTCTGACTCAAACTCCCACCCCTTCCCTCCCTCCACATAAATGGCCAGCCCTGTCCTGATTGATCCATCCTTCTGCTGTCCCTTAGAAATAAGACTCAGGGCGTAGTCTCCTACCTGATTAGCCGTATTTATAGGCAGTCTGTTTTCTTCCCAGATGTGCTGAATCTTTGTCGACATGGCAGTGCTAATAAGTCCAGGGCAAAGTAGATTTATCCGGATGCCCCGGGAGGAGAGATTCTTGCGGATAGCTCTGAAGAGGCCAAGCACCCCGTGCTTCGCAGGCTGGTATACACATAAACCAGGCTGCTCCTTGAAGGATGCCAATGAGCCAGTGAGCATGAGAGACTTATCGCGGCCAGAATCGGGACCCTGGCGTAGATACACCGCCGCTATGCGAGCAAAGTAGAGAGCGCCAAGTAGGTTAATGTCCAACACGGACGTTGACGGAGGCGCTACAATTGAACTCAGGTCCAGGCTAGGATTAAACCAGTTTTGACCCTCTGTTACTCCAGCAATTGACATAGCATGGTCCACGCGTCCATGGCGAGAAAAGGCGTCTTGGAAGAGTCCGAGGTTGTCTTCATATTGTCTGACATCGGCACGTCGGAAAGCCAAAGAGCCAGTGCTCAAAGGATGACTCTTGGTCAACCTTTGTATGAGCTGAACGCAAGCAGTCTCATCAGTGTCGCCAAAAACTACGTGTGCCCCCACACTATACAGTGTAGTGACAACTGATTCTCCAACACCATGGGCGCCACCTAAAGATCGTCAGACTCTTCCATTTAGTTTGGATGTGTTATGACAGTGCTTACCCGTCAAGACAACAACTTGATTCTCTAGGCTCGAGAACAGTTCGGAGTCAACATTGTACACAGGCATTGTGTAGCGGAGGAATATCGAATGATGTTTCTAGGTGATTACGACTCGGAATCAGGCGGTATAGGAGCGTAATTACACCCCAGAAAGCTTCGTCTGGCAGCACGAGTCCGCACTGGTCATTGTTTACCGTCCTGTGATTGACAGCTTCATCAACTGGAGCATCATTAACGGCCGAGTATGATGAGTTGGCCGAAGACATGAGCTAGCGGCGGATTGTGTGGAGATGTTTCGCCCAGGCCTTGTTCTCCGCCTTCTATTCAACGCCGCCGAGAGGCAAAGACGGCTAAAACGGGAGATAAGCCAAAGCTCAGGACGAAAGGGTCTCAATAATCGGGACTAATGAGCTCCGCAAATGGCCATGTGCTGTAGAAGTACAAAATTGATGGCGAGATGCGGGGTCTGAGGCAGGACGGCCGGGGAGGATGCCCATTAACCCGGATGTCGGCCAATACATCCCATCGATGGCTGTTGTCGCTAACAGAAGTGGTATTTAAGATAACCGCCTATTATTCTCTTTGGCGTATCTGAGTTACTCACAGAAGGCAAACAATATGACTTATACTCATATCGTCTCGTTTAAATTCAAGGATGGCGTTACGCCTGACTCAGTCAAGGTAATATCCTGATGGGGTGATCGATGTTTGAAAGATGTTAATATTGCTCTTAATACAGGAACTTGTTGATAAGATGCTTATCTTGAAAGAAACATGCGTCCATCCAAAAACAGGAAAACCATATATCCAATCCTGCACCGGGGGGCATGACAACTCTGTGCAGGGGCTTCAGGTATGCTAGTGGGACTGATCTTCACAATGAAATGGTTACTAACATTGTGTCCTTTCATAGAAAGGGTTTACACATGTTTTTGTGGTCGCTTTTGACACCAAAGAGGACCGTGATTATTACGCGTTGGAGGACCCCGTGCACCTCGAGTTTGTAAAGTGGAGTGACTCGGTTGCTGCAGATGTCTACGCTATTGATTTTGTGGGCGGCGTATTTGTCTAGAGATATGAGAGATATGAATAAATTTTGAAATTCGACTGACAATTTAATTTAACTCTAACTACTGAATAAAGATAGCTCCCTTCCCCAAATTCAGGCGATGTCTGCTCACCGAGTCCCCACTGACTGGGTCATTACTTAGTCCAAAAAAGCAATCAGCCAGCACGATTAATTTCTGGTCTCGTGCGTGGGTCGAAAAATCTACGTATAACTCAGTGGGCTGAGGGCAAAAGAGGTCGGGGTAACACTTAAGTTTAATTTTTAGCCGAGAGTATCAAGTGGGTGAAATAAAAAGTGGCACATCAAGATAGTTCAGCAATAAATTTCAACACAATATCACAATAAATAACCTAGTACTGAATACAATATCAAGCTAAATGGGCAGGAAGTTATCATTCGAGTTGTTGATAAGTTAGAACATTATGGGCCATGGATTGACCTCCCAGGATTAGGGATTTCCATAAGAGACAGCTGGAATCACAGTATGCCTTCCGGTTTTGATTGAAAACCGACTTGCCCTTGACAGTTACTGACAGAATTGCACAGGCCCTACATTTGAGCTCGACGCTGAGGACGACAGGGAAAACGCACAGGCTGAATGGCTCAATTTGAACTCTTTCATCGCTCGATTGTTCAATCTCAAGGGCAAGCGGTTTGGTAACTTTGCGATATGGGAGTTGCGGAACGGCCTTGAGGAAGACGCAAGCGATGCCGGCAGTGCAGCCGCCGCTGATGCGAGAGTCCGTATTGCTTCTAAGTGGATCAAACGCAGCGGCGTGCGACTGTGGAATGAATCTATAATGGGTACGTTCTCAATTGAGCCAGAGGACAGGAGCCCATACAGAGGAGGTTCACTGTTTCTTGGCTTCAATTTTGAGCGTTGGGGCTTCTGCAAGCGTCGACTTGTGGAGCTACGCAGCAGATAATGCCATCAATAGAGCAGTGGAATCAACTAAGCTTGTTGAGATGAGTGTCTGGTCTAACCGTCCAGGTATCAGTGTTTGTGATCGGGCTGGGCTCAGAGAATCGCTGAGTGTGCGTTACATGACTTGGATCATCACCATTGGTCTGATGATGTTTCCTAAGCGCGCCAACGCAGCTGCAGTTCTGAGCCAGACAAATAGAAGCAATTATCTCTGATGCGCACATTTGCCCAACATGAAAATGTCAACGACGATCCAACCTCTCGTCATGGTCGGAGATTGCGGAAATAACTGTACTTTCGTCATCGATTGCCTAGGATAGTAGAATACGCGTACCCTCCGGAAGAAGGCTTTGCGTAAATCTCATTGGGGAAAATAAAGCGTTGAAATAAAAATTAGCCTTAATTAATCTTTGTCTGGGCCAAGTGGGTGACATTGAAATTGAGACACTCAAACAATAAGCTGCTTATTCTCAAGTCTACGACTACTATCGTCAAGTTATTGAGTACTAATAATACACACTCGAGAAATAATGCAGCATATATTGTCACTTCGTTTTATCTTTCTTTTACTAAACTTCTTAATCTATCCTAGAAAGTAGTAAACACTCTTCCATTAGGCACTTGCGGGCCTCGGACGGACCGGGGACTAATTATTGATGGATCGTGGCGCAGCGAGCCTCTACCCGAGTACGATGTGTATGGTTGGTCTTTAGCTCCGACTGGGGATGCAGTGACTGTGCAATCAGAGAACAGATGATCCGAATGCGAACCCGGAATGGCAAGAAATGTCAGCTCATCCCACTGAGAAACACCAGAGGTGTGATGATTACGTAGGTAGGCGGGAGCCAGGGGTTGATATTGCAACTTTAACGGGAGTTAAAAAGAAGACACGAGACACCTGAAAAGTGCCGCCCGCGTACTGAAAGGCAAAGGAATTATATTACCATAAAATCATTCATTCAATTGTACTCGGGACCTCTTTTCCAAACTCCAAAATGCCTCACAGCGTCCGCCATGAACCGACCCCGCTGGAGATTGTGAAAGATAATAACATGGAGGGGAAGCTGCTTGGCAAGTGGGCTGTCATCACTGGCTCCTCCTCTGCCACGGGTATTGAAATTGTCCGGGCACTGGCTGCCACTGGGTTAAGACTCATACTCCCAGTTCCAAATCAGGCCGAAGCAATGGTGACTCTCGGTGATGCTTACCACCCAAACCGCATGGAATTCGTCACAATAGACCACACGTCACTTGACAGTGTGCGAGAAGCTGCAAAACATATCATATCCAAGACAGAAAGGATCAGTCTCCTCGTTTGCAACGAGACCGCCACGCCTTCCCCTGATCTCCAACTCACCAAGGACGGTTTTGAGGTGCAGTTTGCCACGAATCACCTGTCTCATTTCTTGTTATTCCAGCTCCTCAAACCAGAGCTACTAGCAGCTAGCCGCCCTAGATTTCAGTCCCGTGTCATCGTGGTGGCATGCGAGGAACACAAGAAACACGGCTTGAATGAGAAGAGTAACTACAACTTTGAAAAGGGAGGATACGATGCCGCGGTTGCATATGCGCAATCCAAAACCGCCAATATATATATGGCAAATGAAATCGAACGGCGTTACGGAACCCGTGGGCTGCATGCTCTTAGCACTAATTCTGGCCGAATCATTGCTGCCGCATCTCAATCGGATGACGGGAAATCACTCCATCCAAATCTGCAGCCAGAAACCGCCGGAAAGAGCTGTGTACGAGGTACAACCACGACAATTTGGGGAGCTATCGGAAGTGAATGGGAGAGTAAAGGTGGGAGATACTTGTCCCATTGCGCAGATGCACGAACTAGGGACTCTGAGGAAGATATATATGGCACTACTTGCGCGAAACACACATATAACCCAGTGGAGGAGGCTAGATTGTGGCAAGACTCTCTAGACATAGTCGGCCTTCTAGATGACCAATAAGGGATCAATAACATGTCTATCACCGCTTATTAATTGCACGTCTCATTAGTTGTCTTCATCCATATCCTACCTTACGCAATGAGAGATACAAGGAGCGAAGAACAATTGTTGTGAGCCAGACTCAACAACTGAATTCGTTTTCTCTTTCATTGATAACTCAAATTGCTATCAATCACACTCATCACCACTACCGCTTAGTGAGCCTTGGCCATTCGATGTTCGCCTTACGACTTTTAGCAGCCAGGCAAGCAAAACCTTCCTCGCATGAAACCATAAAGGCCGGAATCTTACTCAAATGAACTATTTACATCCATGAAATCACATCCGTTACCCGTATCTTCAGTTTGGATGTCAGTTTTGCATCAAGATAGAACCCCCAGTACTTTGTTAAGTCATCGGAGACGACTACATATGACGATGCCGAACTAGAGTATCGTTCACCCCCCTCCGCCTAATCCCCCTCTTAGGACCCGTCTTTCGATCTTCGGACTGCGCCGAGACGACGGGAAGTGGAGGGTGTAGTGCTGCTTGCCGTCGGACTCGAAGTGGACGGTAAGTTAGGTATCTCGCACGAGCTCTGGGAGGCTATGCAGTTGAGCTTTCGTGTTCGACATGTCGCCTTAACTTTTGCCCTATATATAGCTGAATCCAGAATGCGAGATTGTGCGATGGCGCGACGACGGGGGGATTTGTCGAGGAGCTGCCGCGTGGCTGGCCGGCGCGCCACACGCACTCGGGGAAACACAATGGGACTAGAACAAAGACAATCAACTGTATGATCCGTCTGAGTGGCAGTGGTCTCCTCTTATGGGCTATGGCAGCCAAACAACAACTGGCCCAAAAACCAAGCCACCGTGAGACTGGCTGAGCTGAGCTGATCGTCTAGCTGCTTTCGGACCTCCACAGGTACATAATATTCGGCTGGCAATGATCGTTTTGTTGCATTCTACAGGCTCAAGTTACTGTGAGCCATTCTAAAATATGCTTTCCTGCTTATCAGTCTCCATGGATGCGATTGTTAACCTCTTTGTTGACGTCGCGGGTTTGGTCTAGAAGCACGCCAGTTTCTCCGCAAATTAAGCTTATTTACAAGACGTAGACCAGGATGTTGGCTCAGTCGCGTTATTATATACAGAGTAGTTCGGGTTACCAAGCCATGCCCGGCATATTGAAACACAGTGTCGTTGTTCTTCAGGACATGGTAGTCTCAGGCCGTCCGTTGAACCACAAAATACACTTCTCTTGAACGATACAGTGATAGATACGATATATAGTATTCTCCTGCAACCTAATGACTAAAATAAAATCGCTAAATGACATTTCAATAATTGAAGACCCCATGATATATACAATGCGCCATGTATGTGAGGCGCCGAAATCGGTATATGTGCAATTAAGTAGGCTAACAGCTCAAGCCCCAAGGTAGATATTTGTTCTCCATCTAGAGCAGGCAGTAGACAGCTGCAAGTCCGCATGAAATCAATGCCAGACCTGACATTTGCATCCTGGAGGAAGCCCCAGGCTCACTTGTCTGGGAAGCAGCAGACCCAGTACTTGTTGAGGCGCTTTGCGTATTCGAGGTGGACGTTTGCATCCCGGACGAAGCAGATGATGTCGTGCTATCGGTACTGCTGCTGCTGATACTGCCGGTGCTGCTGCTGCTGCTGCTGCTAGTGCTCTCCTCTGAGCTGGATGTCGACTCAGTCGTAGTCGCGCTGGTAGATGTGAAGTCGGAGGCAGATGTCAAAGACGTCAATCCCGTGGATGGCATTGGTCTCGTCAACAAGCTTGATGCAGACGGAAGAGTCGAGCTTGAGCCTTTCGCACAATACCCATATTTGCCATTGTTCATGCAAGTCTCTCCCTGCTCGCAGTAGCTCCCTGTGTCCGCACAGCAGATCTTGCCGTCGGGAATGCACGTCTTGTCCGCTCCGCAGGGAACCAAAGAGCCCAAGCACCCATCGGGATCGTCAGAGCACAGTTTGCCAATCGGACAGCACCCGGAGTCGACGCACACGGTCAAGACATCGCAATATCCCTTTCCATTCTCGCAGCACACGCCTAAGATGGGAATACACGCGTTCTTGCAGGCTTTGTAGCCAACGCCGCACTCGTCTCGCTCGGCTAGCCTTGTGTCTAAGTTCGATGTGCCGAGGATCTCTTCTGATCTGATGTTGGCGAGGCCTCGCGACGATTTTCTCGGTAATAACGGGGCGAGTTCTGAAGTTGCGGTACTGAATGGCGCGAGCGCGAGGAACAGGAGTTCGAAAGACACGATTTGCTGAGTTTTCATCGTCGCGTATCGATATGCGTGGTGTGATTGAATCCTTACTACTTCTTTTGTGTTTGTTGAAGGGGGGGTTGTCGTCTTCGTTCACAGAGGCGGAATTAGGCGATCGATTAAAACAGGCAAAACTAGATCGTCAATTGAACTTCGAAGGGAAACGGGAATTGGGTCAATTCATATTTGCTAAGATTGGCACAACAAATTTGTAGGATTGTTGCTAAATTTGGCATATTGTTGGCCTGGGTTTTAATATGACAGGGGCCAGGGCCAGCCTTGTGATGTACCGTTTCAACTTTAGCAGCTCCACGGGGCCTCATTGTGAGCCTGTTCAAATACATGTACCTAGCGGTATTGATCAAATACCATTAGACTCAAGTGAAATTATACATCGAATCCTATCAGACTCGGTTGGGTTCTGTTGTACCACGATCTCTCGCTGCATGGCACGGTAACTTTACACATCACCGCGTTCTAATCCCTGTTGGATTGGTCTAAAAGTAGACTGTCTTACTCATTGAACTGAGCTGACCTAATGATAATACCCTGTAATTATTAGCTCATGCATGGAGCGTCCCTGGTTTGGGTGGGATAATCCAGGTCATCGATTCATTGATTGTTTACTTAGGCATTATCAAGCACATTGGCCACGTGCTCAGACTTTTGAGCTCAGTTACAGACCTTCGTGCGGCATTGAAGACTCAGAATCCGGGGTAATCAGTTTAATTTGGTCATCTGTGGCCGTTACAAGACACTTGAGCTACCTATGTGCTAGCTTCATTTACTGATCAGCGCACCTACCCTATAGCCAATACCTGGCGCGCTTGATCACGTAGCAACGAGGTTGAATACATGTCCCTAATGTGTCTTTCATTGAAAATTAAATACTGCGATTGACGCATATCAGTATTCCAACATTCAATATTTTGGCGCATATAATTATCTTTTTCTGCCAAAGCCGCAAACAGTGTCCTGCGACATCGCGATACTTGATGAGAGTTTCAACAACCCGGAGTCTCACCAAGTATTTGTTAGACCGACTATCAAATGCAATAAACATAGGGCTTGTACTGGGATAAACTTTTCGTCAAGCAGTGATGTAGTTCAACAGCAATGTATTCATCTATGTCCCCAAGATAACAAATTGAAATTAACCATTCTAAAAAACCATGTCCGTCCCATTTCCAGTCTAAAATGTGCAAAGAAATCCCCAAAATATAGATCTAGTTTCTTTGGTCTTGATAAAGAGCCCGAAGCGACCAAGTCGTGACCAATAGGGCAAAGCAACGCAAAGTAGTCGAGCCCAAGATACCCAACTGGCATCGTCCACCGAGAGGCTGAATCATCCACTTATGCCCTCTGATAATTGGGAACTGCAATCCCCTCACTGCTCGAGGACAGGCTCTCCATCGTCTTGGACCGACTGCTCCCAATAGGCCTCATCATAACCAGCTCCAATCCGTTTCTGATCGGCTCGTCCCCGCGGAGGAGAAGACCAATCTCGCTAGGATGGAACCAGTTCATCCACAGAAGCACAATGAACATGAGCATGCCGTCGAAAACAAAGACATACACCTCCTGGCGCATCAACGGCCCCATGTTGCCTTCGATAAACTCGATCGCTCGGAACAGACTTCGAATCCAGATCAGGGTTCCGGTGACGTAGAGGGTCATGAGGTAGATTTGCCAGCGGATGCGAGGTTGCGAGGCTTGGCTCGTGGGGTTCTGGCGCATGCGGTAGTTGAAGAGTGCGGCGACGATGATGAAGAAGCCGAAGAATGCTAGTTGGACGAATAGACCGCCGATAATGACCTTTTCTCCAATCTTCATGAGGTCGGCGTTGATAGCCATGAGACCACCTCCTATTGTAAGACAACGTCGCTCCATGTTAGCGCGTTGCTTAGTCCTACCTAGAGACATGGGAAATTCAGGAAATTGGCGAAACGTACCAGAAGCCTGCATCAGTAGAGAAATGACATCGCCGGTAACGAACAGCTTGGTAAGCCAGCGACGCTTGACCAAGGCGTATCGCTCACCATCCGTCAAGAGGATGATTCGTCCGAGGATCATGTAGATGGAAGCGGCCATCATGGCAGGCGCAATGAGAATCAAGACGTTTTGCATGATGTAAGGTCCCAGTGTCCAACATCCCGGCTTTTGCAGCGCGTTCATTAGTCGACCGATGTAACCAATCAGCTCGGCTATGCAACAGAAAATAGTCAGTGGTATTCATTATAGGATACTGCTTCTAGGATGGCCACGTACCAACACCGCCTGCAACAAGCGCACTTAGATACCATGTTTTGGTTCGGAGCATCTGGAAAAGGTGGAGGATCGTTGCGAGCCCAAAGAGGACAATGAAGACCGTGTTGGCGGCGGTGGATGGGATGAACCGGTAGAAGGACCAGACGGCGTTGACATAGTCAGGATTGCACTCTGGGCGTGCCATGGTGATATGGGAGCTTGGACTCGCAAGGAGTCAGGAGTATGCGATAAATGGCCTCAGCAATAAGAATAGTACGACTTCTGGCGACTAATCTTGGAGAGACGGGCGAACGAAGAGATACCGAGAAGAAAGACGATCTACCACGACAAAGAAAGGAAAGAAAAAGAACGGAGCAACGTTAATTAAGAAGGTTAGGGAATGAAAAACGTTAGTGTACGATCCGACGGTTGGGGAACGGCTGGTTATTTGACTGCGGAGAGAAACCCCGCTTCAACGCCCTCGTATTCTAGACTACCGTATTAGTTTGATCTCGAAAGCGGCTCGCTCTTCTCGCTTTGCTATCCGAGCCATCTCGTGTGTGTGGCCTTGTAGTTGGCTGTTGCCGGGAAGTGGTTTGATAGTGCTGTGCCCGTCCTCTTGCTCCCCACGTGGAGCCAATCAAGGATCAATCTCAGATGAACCCATAGAAAGACAGGGATCGTAGTGTGCTAAGCCTCGATTTAGCTTACGGATGAAAGCGAATCCGCGGACCGCGTTCCGAAATGCGAGAAAGCGAAACCTCTCACACATCGTGATAACTGAGCTCTCTCTCGCTCCCAGCGCCCTCCGTTTCTAATCTGCGAGCGATCAATTGCCCACAGCCACGAAACATGACGCGTCTAGCGGCGTAGGCACTAAATAATCCGCGCATTTATCACTGGTGGTCTGTCCGAGCCAATTGAAGCGCCATGCCTCCGATGCGTCCCCATACCAAGTCTCGGACAGGCTGCACCAATTGCAAGCGCCGTAAAGTCAAGGTAAGCAGTCTGCGCCAATATGTTTTGTTATGTCAGGACTCTGCTCCTTCTCCTTTGTCGCGGAACTCAGATGTGTCCGATCGGGTTCGCTTCTCGCTGAGCGTTTGGCGAGATCTGACACAGGGAGCATCGCATTGGTTTCCCGCGCTCTCATTTGCATGAACGATTAAGATGAAGAACCCATTGCTTACAGGTCCTGATTGCTAGTGTGATGAAGGGCGACCGGAATGCTTCAACTGCAGGCGCCACGGCGTGACATGCAGCCTCTCGTCCAACTTCGACATCGGCAGTCCTAAGCGATCGAGATTAATTCCCACCCAGCCAAACATCCTGCCTGTCTCGCCGTTACCTTCAGAGACACTTGACTCGAGCGTCTCTACTCCTCGACATCATCCTCTTGACCCCCCAGACGCAACAGCGAGCCACATCGCCCCTTTACCCCTGGACGACATCTCTAGCCGGACCTTCGAGCTCGTTCACCACTACAGCACCATCACAGCAGATACGCTCTCCATCCGCCAGGACATCCGTTACGTGTGGGGAGTCGCCATCCCTAGAGAGGGCTACAAAAGCTCCTACGTTCGTCATGGCATCCTCGCCATGGCTGCCGCCCACAAGGCGTATCTCGCCACCAGCGGCCGAGAGACCTACCTCGCCTTGGCCGACTACCACCAGACGGTGGGCTCAGAGGGCTTCCGCCATGCGTTGGGGAACATCACGCGCGACACCTGGTCCCCCATCTTCAGCTTCTCCTCCCTCGCCATCTCATATCTCTTGACGCTCCCTATCCGCTGTGAGGATATGCACATCGACGAGCCGGTATCCCGGTTCCTGGAGCTCATGGGCCTCGTACGCGGCATGAGGACCGCTCTACATACTATCGTCCCCGGCGTGCTGAGGACCGAGTTCGCCCCTTTAGTCTACGGCGTATTCCCCGGCTCAGAGAGCGGCCCTCCCCCAGGGTAAGAACTGCTGCGCTTCCCCGGACGGGATGATCTCTCTTTTAACCAAACACTTAGGCACCCCTCCCTGGAACACTGCCCCCTCCCCCACGATACCTACGACGCAATCGCCAAACTCCAATCCTTCCACGAGCAGGACCTCCCCGCCTCCAGCCAGACAGACTACCGCTCCGCCATCGTCCACTTCATCGAGACGGTCGAGCGCATCGCCGTCGCGGGCGCGCACTACGAGTGCGGCGCCGTCCTCGTCTGGCCGTACCACGTCGAGCCGAGCCTGCTGGCCGACCTGAGGGCGCGCAGACCGCACGGCCTGCTCGTCCTGGCGTACTACTGCGTGTTCCTCGCCCTGCTCGAGAAGCCGTATTGGTTCTCGAGGGGGTGGAGCAGGCAGCTTATGGGCGAGATTGAGGCGAGCTTCGCGGGGCAGCCGATGTTCTTGGATATGCTGAAGTGGCCGAAGAGGACCGTTGATGCGCTGCGGGTGGCATGAGGAGGATGAGAAGTCCACAGAGGGAGGTTTGTGGAAGGGACGGCTAGATGGGAGGTATGCTGGTGGATCACGCCTTCTGCGGACTCACTCTGCTACTTGTCTGCGATGGCTACAAGGTACGTACAAATAATGGCCAGGACAAGGTACCTATGCAAGGTGCTAGCCATCAGTGGACGTCGTCCGCATAGATGGTTAGCATGAGCGAGAACAGGTTCTGTGGTTCATTTCCCAAAGGAGAGATGCCAAAGACCCAAGAGGAAACGACTGGCTCAATATTATATTCACAGGTTGGCTTACGGGCAAAAAGTTGGGAGAATAGAGGTTGCGGTTTGCTGTGAATACCTTAAAGCTCACACTTTTTGCTGGAACAGAAGCCGTGACTCAGTCCGTCTGCACCCTGCCTCCGAACGAAAGGATAGGTATTCTTAACCTCACGGTTTCTCCCTACCTTTGTATTTACAGAATTGGGCTAGTTTACCTTGCAGCTGCTGTCACTGACGTCCCCACGGGTATGCTATTGTTAGCTAGATTCAATCCAGAGGGTTGATGTGCGACATCTGAAAACGATCAACTGTTGATGGCGGTGGCAGTGGATTATACCGAGCCGGACATTAACGACGGCATATTATTTCGGTCTTTTGAACGCGCTAGATTGAATTGCTTACCTTGATTGGTCATCAATGTTGGATTTGTGTGCATTTAACAGATGGGGCACAGGAACTCCGAAACTCTACGCAATTCACGCATAAATTTTGTTCACAAACCTCTGTTACAACACCGCCGCTTTGTCAATATGTCTACTATTCTACTCCATATCTACGATATCAAGTCAGATGGCGGCTACCTCCGAGCATCATCGGGGGCAACTGATGCATTGCCGTTTAAGCACGTCATCGATTTTCTCACTTCACGAATCCCTCAATCTTTGCCTATTTTAAGAGCAGTGCAACTCGCTCCGAAAGATGAAGGCGCCGTTTTGATCACTACACCTCTTCCTCCTTTGTCTATACGAGAGCCAAAGGAGGAGGCCCCCGAGGATACGAGTCCCGAGTCTGTATGGACAATGGCCTACGTGAATCGAGCCAATCATCCAGGAACAGAAATGTGGACATTCTCATCTTTGGAAATGTGGCCCCTTATAGACGGCTATGAGCAAGCATCGCAGAAACCCCACATGGACCCATGGAAACTGTTCGTGCCTTTTCCCTCTGACGTTTGCCAACTCGCAATTCGCCAACTCATCGCAATACTCTCTGGAATCCCAACTAAGTCTAGGGATGATGGAACAACACTCTTGGAACAAGGAGAGAATCCAAACAGTCCTTGTATCAAAGCTGGCAATGTCCATACGAGACTTGCTTCGCTCCTCGCCCAAACATCAGTGATTCTAAAGAGTAGCCCTCCGTACGGCAAATACTTGTTTCGAACTGGGGGCGATACTATGACAAACCTCCCTCATTCTGGAGAAGGGTCAGGTTTGCCTCCTGGGTTTCGATGGGAACTAATCAAGAAATCGGATTATGCCGAAGTCATGGCGCAAAACCAGCTCATTCGAAGCACCTCAACACTTGATAGACTCAAAGGAGTGGCAATTAGACAGGAGAATACGTCAAGCGCAGATGGGCCTTCGAGGCTCGCGGCATTTGGTTTCGCAGGCGAGGACGGGTCAGTTCGTACTTTGCATGTTGATCCTGATTTCAGGCGAATGGGGCTCGCAAAGGCCGTGGTACAACGGATTATCAGTCTAGGGTTTTGTTCGCCTCCCAGAAACGGGCCATTCGCTGCCAGTGGAACGGTTCAAGAAGAACATGAGGGCTCTCACCCCTTGGCTTTTTGTGGCGTTTTGGAAAGCAACGAAGGGAGCATCCGGACATTCAAAGCCATCGGGGGAACCTGGGCCTGGGACGTCTTCTGGCTATGGCTGGATATACACGAGGTAAAGAAAGCTTACGGGATTTGATAAATGGGACGGTAATACGATTAGACTGTTCTTTCAACATGCTAAGTTACATTATTAGTGAGGGATATTATATGACCATGACGATGGGGCTTCCATTAATTTGCCCGAAAGAAACTCTATAATACACATATTAGCACTACTGAGCTGTTAACCTCCGAGATAGTTTTGCTTACAAGAACACTAGTTCGCCCACAAAAAAAATCGCAGAAAAAAACGAAACGCCAATTTTCTTCCCCCTTTCCGATCAAGGGTTAATACAATAACTCTTTCTTTAGTTATGGCTTACTTACCATCACAAAAGAATTGATTCTAAAGCTGGAATATTAATTTATGCCGGATACACCTGGAATAACTCGGATTACCTACCAACTACTTCATGTCTTTGACCTGCGGACATTGTCAAGTTAAAATCTTATGCATCAGTCTCCAGCCGGGTTGGTAAGTGACTTACACGCTTCTCAAACTCCTCCTGGAAATTAAGTTAGTACTATTCCAGAAAAATCAAATTTGAGGGGACTTGCCATGATGGAGGATTTTGCATTCTATAATATGGGTAATTAGCCACACCCGCTAACATAGTCACACGGCAAAGCAAAGACTCACGTCCTCCCTCTTCTTCGCCTCCTATAGATGCTTTAAATTAGCCTTGATAGGTTTCGGAGCATTCCAGGTATAAACTCAAACTTGACATACATTCGCCTTGTTTTGAAGGTCCTTGAATTTAAACATTAGTAAAGTAAGACATAAAGAACAATAGTCGGGACAATAGTCGGGACAATAGTTGGGCAGTTGGGACAATAAAACATACCACAGCCTTATCAAGAAGTGTCTAATAGGTCAGTCATTAAAATAATTCAGGAAAAGAATCTTTATGCAAGATTAACGTACATTGATCTCGGCCTGCAGCTTCTATTTACTTATTAGTGTGTATGGGTATATCGCAATCGGGGTGAAACTTACAACAATCTCGTTTTGCTTCAGCTAAAGTTCGGAGACGAAGACCATTGGATTAGCGCTACAGTGTAGCCGGCGCTAGCTATGGGATATTTTGCATACCTGCGCAGTCGCCAGATGGTTCTAATATCATTAGCCTTATCCGCAAATCTAGAGGAACAAGAATACATACGTCTCTCTGATTATGGAAGTACTTGATGGCAGAATTCTCAGCTGAGTGGACCTATATATGCAATTACTCGCTCACTTACTTGCGACGAGTTCTTATTTGCCAGTCAGCTTCTAGTCCGTGCCTATGAGTATTGACTCAACTTACCTTCTGGCAAGGGATCTTCAGGGAAGGATGATACGTTAGCAAGATCAATTAGCATGTAATTTTTCCGCAGGGATACGCACGGTTCCTCTTCCCTAAGGTATTTTACGTGGTTAGTCCTTCTATATGATCAAGAATAGCGGTGGAAAGATGCATTGACTTACTGCTGGGCGCAGCCAGCATTTCTCGGGGCTGTGCCCCGCCTTGTTGCAGTATTTGCACTACCATATTTCAGCATCTGGTATATGTTTTCACCAAAGGAGCTCACTCACGAGCTCACCACCAGCTGGAAGGAAGACAATCAGCGAAAGTTATCAAGGCAAAAGATATGGTGGGGTGGCATACCGTGCTTCGAGGGTGCCACTGATAAGAATACAAAGTTAGCAAAGATGGATCGCTTTTGGTAGCCGTAGCCTTCACGTACTTGCGATTTCGAGTCTACTCCAAGAGTACGTTAGCTCTGGTATCATCAGATCAGTTCTGATGGAGAACTGACCGAGAAGTTGGTTGATTGCTGAAATGCGAGGACAAGTTAGTTGATGAACCAATGGACAAACTCCAAAGCGCAAGATATCTTACAGCGTTCTTTGGAATCTTCCTACTCTCTCAAAGTTAGTTACAATATCTTCACATCAGGTGGTTTGATTGATAGGCTTACCGGTCGAATTATGCTTGCGAGGATGCAAATTCCAGAAAGTTCAGGGTAGCACCAAGCAAAAGACCAGCCTTGTGCGTGCCAAGCCCTCCGACCCACAAATTTGTGGACGCGCACAAGAGTGGATTTTGCCCCTCAAGTAGGCGGGTGACATAAAAATGAAGACAGTCACACATTAGGCTATTTATTATTGTTCAAGTCTGTGAGCGGTATTATAAAATTATTGTGAGCTAATAAAGCATACTTGAGAGATAATACGGTATACATTGTCGTTTCATTTCTTTGTGTACTATAGAACTTTTCTATCTATCTATCGCGGAAAATTGTGTATTTCTTATGGCCACTGTGTTTCGCATAATAAGGATTGCCCCTTGTTGTTTGCTTGGTTGCAACGATTGCTTAACGCAAGGAGCAAGAGTTCAGTCAAAGGAGGGACAGCGAGATTGGTCATTACTTTACTGGTAGGTACCTATGTAGGTAGATAGTATCTGTTGCTTTCTGCTACGAGGAGGGAGAAACTTGCGTTCTAGGAGCTAAATAATGGGCCGATGGTAGAACCTGTATGGATCCATAACGCAGGTCCCAAGATTAGGCTGGAACAGAAGGAAGGAAGCCATCGTGAGCTCTTGGTACCTATTATAGTCCCGAGTCGACTGTAAAGGGTCACACCGCGAAAAGCCTGCTGTTTCCATTTGAAGGCCCCCCTAATAAAGAGCTAGCCTTGAATCTCGAGCGCTCAGAGGCGAATTGTTGCCGGGAGTATATCGTGTTTCTCAAAGTCGTCATCACAACGAACGGACCATTATGGGTCAATGGCCGCCTAAGAACTGTCAAAGAATTAGACTTGTGATGGAGGGTAAAATAGCAGGCTTAACATGTAGGAGATGATAGATGGAAGTAACCTTTCTGGTACTATGCAGTTGCTATGCAGGAACCACCTAGTATAAATGAATCTCTGGATCAACGATGTAGCCAATCCCACACGAGCTGGAGTCTCACGATCCATACCCCTATTCTAACTCAAGAATCTACTTGCCTATAGTCTACTTTCCGTTCAGTTCTGGGGCTTAGTTTCTTAGTCCACCGGTCGATGCATCTCAGAACATGCATGAAATGATGAGAGCAGTACCACCCTTGGACGATCAACGTCTCAATAGTGTCAAATTCACTTCATCTTTGCTAGAAGTGGAAAAGAGCTCCTACAATAATAGAGCCCGATACTCTAACTAATAAATAAAAAGGCTTTCATAAATCATCAAGACCTAATAACCAGGGGAACATCAACTATAACGGCGAGGTTCTCCATCAGGATCGGAGTTTTTGCTCGCTCGCTTTGCCTAGGTGCCGACATGTCTCGACGGCCTGCAGCCATACAATGAGGAAGTTGAGAATCTCGCTGATCCCATTTGACCTTGAATCAGATATCACTGTATCCCTAGCTACGAAGTGTATCGCTGGAGGGGACGACCCTCCTTGACCTTATTTCGTTTGCTACCGTAGAAGATACATGATCATGGCTTGATATTCATATTAATAAGATCCCTATCGTCGTTTATTACCCAGGTAGATGCGCCAAATACTATGTCCTGATCCCTCTCATCGTCTTTATCGGCCAGATCATCTTGCTTTGAATGGTTTGAACCGCTCTCCCCTTGTATGGTATAAGCACCATCTTCGTGCCAATAATAAGGAGCAGCCTCCTCCTTGCCTGGGATACCAGCAAACCAGTCCCAGATACACTCAGGAAGCGGGATAGTGCCAGGCCGTAGATAGCTTCGTGAATCAATGCTGCGACCGGCAATATCAAGCTTGTCGACCAACAACTCAAGTCGGTGCTGGTAATCCTGTGTGACTGGGTCGTTTCTTCCATGGAAAACAAGAGCCCAAGGATTTACGAGAGTCTTTCTCTCACAAAAGCTCCATGGAATTGAAATATAATTCAGTATAGTCGGTGTATACATCGCCCATGTAGCGTCGCGAATGGCCCAGATATCATAATCGGTAACCATTATGAAGTTTATTTGACGATCCCTTTCTAAACGGCCTTGGAAGCGGCAATACTCTCGGTAAAGTTCCTGCTTTCTGTTACCCCGATAGGCACTAACTGCTACACATCCCCGGGGGAAATGGTGAGCAGTATAAACTTGAAAGGGCTCCTTAGGTTTCAAGATAGCCTCGATAATTTGCACTGTGTTCAAAGGCGCTTCGATAATCCAGGGTGACTTGGCGGTGATGCCGGTGTCGAGGTAGTCGGTGTTGGGAATTCGTTCCTGAATAGTGTCTGGGTCTTCAAAGATACGATTATACCGGCCGTACGCCCATGCAACCTGGTCGAGGCGCCGTAAAGGAAGGCCAGCGCCCTCAGGATCATCCATGCTGCGCCTACCAACTATCGGACTGAGAGTTGACGGGGAGTTTGGTGGCGAGAACGCTGGTCATTGGACGTGGTAAATATGCGAAGAAAGGGCGCCGGAGGATGAGATGCTAGATGATTGATGGAGGAGCCTTTTAAAGAAGAAATTTGCTTCCTAGTAGCAGGCAAAGTACCTCCTAGCCCTAGTACTAGTACTCTAACTTCTGTAGTCATGCCCAAGGAAAGGCGTGGATGACCTACAAAACAAACCTCGGGGCGCGTTACATTATGTATCTACGGCTCGATCGTACCTAGGCTACTGAGTGAAGACTGCTACAATGGCTAATGTTCTACACAGACACGCCTTTATCGAATTACGAAGAGATGCGACGACTCACGACTGGTGAAGGAGCATATGGTAAATAGCAGGATATTTCCTTCCTCACCTCTCCCTTGCCCCATTTCAATGCACGCATGGGTATCTGAGCACTGCTCTATGGAAGAAAATTCTTTCTAGAGTGCATCGCTATCGAGGACAGCTCAACGCACATCAAATACTGCCGATGGAGAAATCAAAGATCCCAAGGCATTTCAGTATACGAGAGAACTATCCAGGTTATTCAATAGCGGCCGGATAAATGGGTACCTTATTACCAAGAAATCGACAAATTGATGCAATGCTCAGCATCACCAATAAGCCAACACATTCAAAGTCGGGGCTGCTCACGAGGCTGCGGCTCGGCCGTGCGTAAGGTTCAACGCCAACAATGGCTTGTGCCCAGTACAATGACTCTTTGACTGGCGTGGCTCCCTCTATGAACCTTAGAATCACGCTTCCCTTCCATTCCATTGAAACATGAAGGGCACCATCGCGGCTTAGTGCTTACGGAACTAGCCCACTCCCTGGTTTAGGTCCAAAGATTTTTGTTCGCAGACCGTTGTCTTCGTCATCAGATACAAGCCAAGGTTTGAACAAGCAACTTAGCTTGTGCTTGCTATGCATCAGATCTCACTCCATCGACTCACTGACAAGCCAAAACCCTCCCCATCGCTTAAATGGGCATCCGATGGCTGGCTGATTTGAAGTTCAAGTCACCTTTGATTTAGCTACCTATGGTGATTACTATAGGGTAGTTATATTGTTCAAATATGGGCTTCCTCCAATCAAATGAAGTTGCTTTCTTTTTGCAAGTCGTTGGCTAAGCTAGTTGTTGATCTCCCAGCCCCTGAAGATGATCCGTTGATTTTGAACCCACCAAAGTATTCTGGGCTGAAAGTAGCTTATCACGCACCCCTCTTTGACCAGTTTGCGATGGCCTCAAACTTCAACTATACATCTCTGCATCCGACGGAGATTAGACTGCTCGTCCTCGATCCAGGCCAAGACAAGGATGTTTTGCGCGGCTCTATTGTCGACGTACAACATGACCCTGAACAGGGCAACGTCCCACAATATGAAGCCATCTCGTACGCGTGGGGTGATCAGACAAATCCGGATTCCATAAATCTGCGTGTCTTGCGAAACAAGGAGCCAAGTGTGATCGACTCGAATGATGGTAATGCCATAGATGCTGAATCCTCGCTTTCCATTGGACAAAACCTGAGCGCTGTCTTACGGCACCTCCGCCATGAGGCAGATACACGGACTCTCTGGTGTGATTCCATATGCATCAATCAGCAAGACTTTGACGAGAGAGCCGCACAGGTCCGGCGTATGGGCGAGATCTTCAAGCATGCGCAGCGCGTCATCGCCTGGTTAGGTCTGGCAGACGAGTACAGCCACCTCGCCATCCAGACTTTGAAACAATGTGCCGACTATATTGACTTCTCAAATGAGGAGGAGGCCATGCTGGCCAACAAGATTAACTTGAAACCAGAGGCAGCTGCACTGGTCACGGACATGGAAACGAACCTGCCATTGTCGCCTCAGCAGTGGACCTCACTCGAGGCATTGCTCTCCAGAAGCTGGTTTCGACGGCTTTGGGTGCGTCAAGAGATCCTGCTGGCGAACAAGGATACCATAGCTATGGTTGGCAAAGACAGCATCCCGTTTCTGCACTTCTCCGGTGCGATAGATTTGATCTCTATCAAGAGGATGACGCTGGAAGCCATCAGACCTCTTCACTTATCGGTCCACTTCTTCAACGTGCGCACGTTTTCCTTCTTGAGGCACTTGAGAGACCTTTCCTCACTGATAGCGTTTACGCACAACTGCGAGGTGACGGACCAAAGAGACCGCATCTATGGCCTACTAGGCCTTGCGGAAGGACCTTTTGTTAGCGGAATATCCATCGATTACAAAAAGGGAGTCAAGGAAGTGTTTCGTGATGCACTGATTGACGCCACTGCGTGGCATTCAGACCTCAAGCTACTGTCATTCTGCGACTCGGCCTCTGAACCGACGTGGGTCCCGGATTTCCATCGAATACAAGACCTGCGACCCATTACCCACACTCGAGCAGCCCTTGCTTCAGATGTAGAAGGCAAGGTGCTCGACTTTGGCCACGTCTGGTTGCAAGGAATTAGGTGCGACACTATTGTAGAGCATCTGGGGCCTCACGAACAGGGTCCTTTAAACGAACAGCTTCGTGCCGCTATCGTGAGGGGCGCCGTTCGCTTCTTGGGCCCGGATCCAGAATTCTGGACGCAAGAGGAGGTGAAAAAGTTTTGCCTCGCGATACTCGTCCACGATTTCCATCTCTATCCTCCCCAAATCGATGGAATCAAGGGCTATTTAGCATCCTTGGTCCGCTCAGAGGATTCGGTCCCCGAGGTGCACTTCCTTCAGTTCATCCACTACCTCACGGGACGCTCTCTATATTGGACAAGAATGGGGTATGTCATCCTGGGACCGCGCGGCTGCCGAACTGGTGATGTAGTCTGCGTCTTCCTCGGTAGCCCCCTCCCTACCGTACTCCGTTCAATGGAAAACGGGGAATATCAGGTAAAAGGGCCAGCGTCGCACCCTGCCCTCTTGGAAGGTGAAGCGCTCCTTGGCCCGCTTCGCGAGGGCTGGCGGCTACGGTACACAACTCGTGCTCTAGACCCTGTATTTGAGTGTCCAGTTCATGGGGAACATCATCGTATCGATCCGCGATTAAATGACATCCCTTTGCCCGAGGGAAAGGAACTGCGCTGGAGGGACAATGGCACTCCGTTTTGGTATACCGCTGAGATAGATCGGTGGTCCAATTTCGATCCACGAGTCTCAATGGAGGAGTTGAGAAAGAGAGGAGTGAAGGTGGAGAAATTCACCTTATCATGAGAAACTGTTCATCATCGTGGGAACTCAGTCATGTTCAAAAATTTAGAAGCATTGTGTTAGCTTAGCTTCTATTACTTCTGTTTTCTTTAGTTTTTTATTTTGCGAAACAACAAGGACGGTAGAACATCTAACAGCCGTTACTTATCCAAATTAGAAGGGCTTGAAGGCTTAGCTTGCTTCTTTAGTCGACATATATGCTACCATTAGAACCCGATTCCAAGCGAATAATGCCCAAATAGTTTTGCTATGTATAAAAACATGTGTCGACCTGGATTTATGAGCCTCTGCGGGGTTTATTCCCTGCTGATACTGTGATGGGCGTTCCCCTGCGAGGATAATCTCCAGCGAGATCTACGCTGATCCCACTATTGGACACCCTCGAGGGATTTGAATAATGTTTGTTGAGGATATGGGGTATAGACTTCTGGAGTTTACTATTCTTATATTCTGTTCATTGTATATACTTGTTATCGTGACGTCGTTTGCCTTGGCCATGTTAGCCTGCTGAATTCCTTGAATTTATCCACAATACTGCGGACAAATAACTTATCAGTGTTGCTTTGTATGCAGCCGACCCTCCAATCGCTCGTCTTCCTGGTAGACGCCTGACATTCCTTGTATCCTCCCTGCTCTCATCTATACCTAAAGTGGTGAAAATGTAATCTATGGCGGGCGTGGAGATTCATGCAGTCTAGTTTCTTGACTAACCCTGCGGTCCAAGATACGCGAAGGAGTTGGCCGAAGCTGAATATTGGACGCATCTCGTTATCACGGCACAGGACCAATCGTCTTTCAGCACACACGCACAGGAGGGGTATTCTATTACGGGGTTCACGAACTACGCCGTAGTTGGTTGTGCTCCGACTGTTCCGAGGCTGGCTCAGCATAAGTACTGGCCCATTCGCCACGGAGCATTAATTCCAGCTCCCCGGGCTGGGGTAGCTAAATCACAGCTGCGATCGATAGTGTCCGCTGAATTTTAGGCACCCGCCTGTCAAGCTGTTGGTGCCCTTTAGCCTGTCTGGTTTCTTCACCGGCTCTAGACAGGCTTGGCGGAGACGCTATGGAAGTGGCTGGATGGGTCTTGACAAGGGGATACTCGCACCAAGAGTCTTGGAGATTGCCATGGCGAGGCCATGACTGGATCAGGCCTCATCGGTGGGATTAACTTCGATCCATGGAGACACTAGTTGACTAGTTGACATCTGCTACGATGACAAGTTGATGGAGCTTCTCCACGAGAATGGCGACACACGTCCGTTCCCAACATGGATTCTCGTAATGCCGAAGAAGTCAATTAATCGGAGAAACGTGATGAACCATGAACCATGGGAGATCCATCACGGTGGCGAGTGTGATCCAGACCGAGGCCATCGACGAGGATATCCCCGGTACAAACCATTGAGGCACGGCCAATAGTTTGTTCTCTAATGCAAGCCCGCCTTGCGCATTCCTTGTGAGCCTTAGCCTTGGCATGGGCTCGGCGGAGGATCGCCCAGAAATCGAGCAAAGGCCCGAGTTTGTCCCAGTTTGTCCACCACGAGATCGAGCGAATGAGATCCCCCACTCACAAACCCCATGTCAATATTGAATTTCCATGGCGTCGTCAGCTGGGCTGTTGGAAATTGGGCATCTCTTGCGGATACTACCTTCATAATCCAGCTTAGTGCCGTCCAGGCCCTTGGGACACCTCGCTTCTGCATGTCAACACACATCCCCAACCGCCTTGCGATGATCAGCAGTATTTCAAACCGTCAGTAGCACACTAGGCATCAAGGGGCTGCTTCGGGAATCGGCTCGAGATGACTACTTCATGCGCCACGGCAGGAGTGCCGCGGCCCCGGGTCTCGCTTCCGTAGTAGTTTGAGGCGATAATTCCGGGGAGTTTCAGCGTCGTTGAAGATGCGAAATTCGCTGGCCCTGACTGGCTGGGAACTTCCTTGCATTAGACCAGCTTTGGGGTAAGCAGGCGGATGACCACTCAGTCAATTTGGTGGCTGCAGCTGCACATATCCCCAATAATAGCGCTACTATGTATGCCGCCCGCTCTCAGGCATATCCTAGACCGACTTGCCCCTGGTCCTCTCGGACTGGGATGGGGTTAGTTTGGGATACAGAGGAGAGATACGGGAAGTGATGGGTTGGGCAGGTATAAATAAGTATAGTACAGATTATTCGGTCTGCCCCCGTCGTACTGTTCTACGACAATGAGCATTCCTGGAAGGTCGTAGGATCTGTGTTTGCTTTTTTTGTGTTTACTAAGATCGATCACATCCGCTCACTGCAACGTGACACGTCAAGATGAAGAGCTACGAACCCGAACACATCGACCGCAAGTCGCTCTACACCAACCTAGAGGCCAGAATCGATTACCTCCATCGCTTCCTCGACTTCAATGAGAGTATGACTCCCTCATACCTATGACTTCCAAGGAGTATCCGCAGAACAATCACTGACGACAACACTCTCAGATGACATTGAGGCTCTGGCCTTCGGATCGAAATTCGTACAGGACATCATCCCCGCTGTCGTCCACATTGTGTACCAGAAGCTCCTCCAGTTCGATATTACTGCCCGTGCATTCGAGACTCGCGATACGCGATCTGAAGAGCCTATAAAGAATGGCATCATCGATGTGGACAGTGCTATAGTACAGGAACGCAAGATGTTCCTCAACGCCTACCTCAAGAAGATGTGCTCCGATCAGTCCCAGATGGAATTCTGGGAATACCTTGATCAAGTTGGGTAAGAAGCAGCTACCCTCTGCTTCGCTACACAATTGCTAATCCCGTTCATAGTGCCATGCATGTTGGCCTGCACAAGCAACGACCCCTCCGAATCGAGTACATCCACATCAACGCGACTTTGTGTGTAATACAACATGTTCTTACTGAAGCCATTCTATCACATAACGCCCTGCCTATGTCCCGGCGCACCGCTATGGTGGTTGCCATCAGCAAGGTCATCTGGATCCAGAACGATCTCTTCGCCAAGTGGTGCGTCCGCGACGGCGAGGAATTCAATGCCGAGGGCGAGACCACGCAGCCCGCCCCCTCCATGTCGCAGATTTCGCCTCCCAAGAGTACGACGTCCGATGGACAACAGGCGGGCACATGCCCGTTCAGTGGCATGACGCAGGCGATGCAAGGGCTTAGCACAGGGCCTCCTGCGCATTGAGTAGGATTGGTTACGGGACATACATGACTTATGAGGTAGTACTCTGGGCAACATCTGAATCTAAGGTAGTAATGAATGCGGCGTTCGGGATCAATCTGAAACAGACAAATACACGGTGAATTGTTCTTTTCATGCATGACTTGCCTTTGACTCTTCAAGCGACTGATTACAGCATTGCAACCACCTATCATCTCATCTGCATGTAAGCCATCTCACCGTGCATGTGCCCCTTCAAGCGATCGGCAATGGCTGTCTCGTCCCGGCTCAAGACCCCCCATGGTCGTGGACGAGTGGGCATCATAATATGGAGAAAATATTGGCAAATATTGGCCTCAACGGGGCGATGTGGCGTCGCTTATCGTGAGATGCATCAACCCCTGACCTTCACCAGAATGCCAAACAGAAACCCCGCCAAGTTGCTTGAGTCAGAAGACAGCACATTCATCCTTGCAATGAGGTCTCTCTGGTCAACAAGGTGCTCCGCACCGAGTCCTACGAAAATGTAAGCTCGTTTCACACCGAGGATTAGCTTGAGCTGGGGCCAGCTATTCAGCGGTAAGCAAGGACTGGATGGGCCCGGGATGCGAGTCATTCATCTGCATGTCAACACTGGCCCACCTACCCACAAACAAACCTGCCAAGTCCTCCGTGGCTGGAAGGGGTATCTCATCAAGGGTACCTGGTGTCGACCTGATGAAGGAACACTTTGTTTGAAGCTACATGTAGGTCACCTCGGTGAGCGGTGTTGGTTGCTGACGGGCTTGTCCTGAACGGCCTACGCAGTATTCATCCCACCACTCACGTAACCCCCTTTTTGAACTGCTCTGGGTTCATAGTATTGCTTCGATCCTTGGCCTAATAGCTTCAAACAGCCACTCGCATTCCGGTCATGTTGCGGGGTCTGATGAAGTCTATATTAAGGGATTCTATCATCTCCACTCACAGTTAGAACACTTGGATCGACCATTCATATTTAGGGAACAAGCCATATGAGCCAGGGTGCATTTTCGCAGCCTCTTTCTACAGTTCTGTCTGTTTAAACGCTTGACCTGCATAAAGACTTTAGTTGCTGAGCGCCATAGACGAACAGAATACTCGCGTACTACTCGAATCGCGTACAGGAGGGGTTATCGCCGTTAACTGCGGTCTACGTTGCGGTGCAGCTGCCATGGAACCGTGACAACGTACAGTAGATGACACAGGTGCATACCCAGACCCACCGCGTATTTTGTTCATCATTTGGCGTTAGGCTGAAGATGCGTAGGATAAACGAATGTAACGCTCCAGGCCCGAAAAGGGACCCCATGACAGGAAAAGGAGTAAGACCTGCGAGACATAGGGGGATGCGCCTCCTCGTTACACAAGAGATGCCCGAAAATATACGCGAAGGGGGAAATTCAATGCATACAATACCCTTTCTAATGAAATTAGCCGTCATCGGTGATTTACTGTTGTCGCATCCGCAATGACAGCTCAACAGATAACTTGAGGTTGCACCAATGTCACCTTGTTTTTGTTTGAGGGTATGCATATGGCGGCCTGCCGGGTGTCTCAGCCACTGGCCGATCAATGCCGATTAGCGAGGAGAAGTTCCAAAGAAGGGATACCATTGTCCATCTCTCGCTTCGTCTTTGAAGTGTTAGCCGGCGACGTTTCCGTAACTCCGCATTTCCACGCACTCGTAGCATGAAGAATGCATTAATTAATTTGATATTACGACTATTATCTTTTCTCTATTACCGTACTTCCATCCTTATTTATAGAAACGAAGCTCCCTAGAAGATCGCATAAATAACGTTCTCGGTATACCAAGCGTTGAAAACTGTAGTTATTAATGAATGCCCGTGCACTATCGACAACTGCTGGGTGTAGCTTCCGTGGCAATTCCAGCAAGGCTGTGTTTGTAATTTCAAGTGGCCCTTGGGACGAGCTGAAGAGGGCGTCCGAGATAGTTTGGTCTCCTGCCAGGGAGATAACAAAGTCCTCAAACATGTCATTGCGTGTGATGTAATCCAGGAGTGAAAACAAACAATGCGGATCATTGACGATATGGTCGATGCCCTTTCCAGCTTCGAGTTTCGCTTGTAATTCTGCAAGGCACTCCAATTCGACGATGATGGAGCTCTCCTCTAGGCCAAAGGTACGTCCGGTAAACGGCCGGTTATACGCCAGCCGCTTCTTCCACCAGAAGCTACAGGCAAAAGATGAAATGATGACAGGAATAAGTACCACATAGCCCATCCAAAGTGTCGGGGTCATCATTCCTCCTACACCCCCGAGTAACGTAGTCGAGCCACTAGCAGCAGCGTAAATCTGGGTGCTGAGAAAGCGTCGGTGCAGTTGATGCAAGACAGGTTGTCCCTCGAGCTTCTCTGCTGTCACGCGCTTATGTTCTTGCGCCTTTGTGAAAAGGTGGAAACACCAGACCGAGTTGACGAGGCCGTAGAGAGCTACGGGAGCGTTCCCAAGATATCCCGATAGAATATTACTGGCAAGCCAAATGGAGTGATTGGCGCCCCAAATAGCCATGATAGTACCGACACCGATAATCAAGGCTCCCGCACCCATCACAACATTCATGCCAAACCGGTTGATACATTCGCTGCCAATCTCGCGATGGAGAACACCTTGAATTGCATCTATGTCGTAGATAGGCAGTGAATCGCCCTGGCGCTCTCGCATCTCGTTTCTGAGCCGCCGTCGGTGCTCACGTAAGAAGCATATGTTATTCCAGCTGCGCCTAGCATCGATGATAGCCGGTACGGTGAGAACAAGGGCGAGAGTTCCTCCACAAGCCATCAAGACGATAACGTAGGTCTGAACAGGTACATTGTTCCAGACATTGGCGGCAAAGTCTGCAGCGTTGGCTAACTCCAACAAGCCCAAAGTGCCCAGGAGGCTGTTCCTCAGTCTCACTTTCGGGGACGGAGCGATGCGTTTTCCTTTCTTGACTAATTTGACTGTCGTGACATGCTCGGTGATCCTAGGTACATCGCCGCCTGATGAATGAATGCTGGGTTCCAGCCCCTGTGTCATCGACGACCCAGATTTGGTGCTTGATAGGTCGTGACGAGGCAGACTTGAATGTGGACCGGCCATCTTGTCTTTCGCACAGCGAAACGTATTATTAAAAAAAGATACGATGGAGAGCAAATGGGAAATTCCCTCTCTTCTGGTCTTCCTTTTATTTAGCCTTTAATTTTCTGCCCCTGGAGGAATGGGGAACGCGTCATCGAGAGAATGTGGACCATGTACGCCAAGGTTTAAGCCCAGTGAGCCGAAGAGCCGATCAAGATGATTGAGCTTTTTTCTCCACTTGACGACCCTGAGTTCTTTAGAAATAGCTTTACATCATGATCATGGAGGGTGGCTTGCCGGTTCCGGGCAAGGCTAGCTGCTGTCAAAGTCTAACAGAACTCAAGGCCGGTTTCGATATTCAGCGGCTGACTTATAGTGCACTCTATCACTCTAATCCGCACACCTACAAATCAAATTTCAGCTAGCCGGTTTACATACCTTATTTAAAGTAGCCAGACAGTGGTCGCATAGACCCCTCAACCTTTTGAAGTGCCCTGTGTTGTGTATTGATTCCTAAAGGACCGATTCGCCCATAGGATATGCCAATCCGGCAGGACTCGAGACTGAATATTCAATGCAAAATCTTTTGTCTGCCTAAAGCGTCTATATAGAGAGCTCTTGACCCATATTTAGAACCTCTCGTGACTGAACATGACCTTTTCGAGGGATATCCTTACCTTGGTGATTGCTGACATCACGCCGAGTGTCAGAAAAGCAGCCGGTGACGCTGTTACCTAAAATGCTTCCGTTATTGGAAGAAAACGATATGTGACGCGAGAAGTCCCAGTATATTGACAATGACTGGTCCCAGAACTCTTACAAGTAGCTATGCTAGGACAAGCTGGGTGTTGATGACGAGAGTATGAGGGGCTGGAGCTACACACACGAGTGGATAAGCTAAATCATCTCCGAATTCGAAACTGGGTATCTAAACTCATATATCTATCATTATCACATCATCCTCGCCTTCCCTAGTATGCTCTACCATAGTTCGTCATATGTACGGGGGCCGGCTCCAAAGGAGGATAACCAGACACGGCAGGACCATACGGGTATTCGTCACGCCAGGGTTCACGGCCTCGCAGTCCCTTCGAAGCGCCAGTTATCAACAGAAATACACACAAAGTTGCAAACCAAACAGTAATCACGATACTGATGTTGCTGAAGTAATCTGGAAACATAAAAGAAACCCTGCCGTTTGTCCGTGAGGCCACGAAATAAAGGATGTTGAGAATTGCCGACCATGTGTGTCGGATGACCGAGAGTACGCTTGATGCAAGAAGACATCCAAAAGCCTATGTTGAGAATCGTTAGTGAGACCATCTTCTGGATGCATATAAAGGTTTTACTTACAGTCCTGGGAACAGGCACCTGTGTGCGCGCCGCATAAACCAGAGTAAAAATTAATGAAATGACGGAGGCCACCCAAATAAAAAATGGCACCAGCATGAATGTAATTGACGAGACATTTGAGACTGTCTGGAAGCCGCGAGGGGGAAGGTTCTCGGCATATAGGCGAATGTGAGACGTCACAAAGTACATCAAGTTGAGAATTTGCGGACTCATGAACAAGCCGAAAGATTTATTGCGGTTGTCAGAGGTATCCTTATCGTATAAATCGAACGTGAGTTTCAGTTGGGCGTGTACGATGGCGCTGAAACTGAGACTACCAATGGTAGTCGCTAGCACCTGAAGCTCATAGACGGGGTCCCTATATTCACTATCCCCCCATACCATGTTACTAAGGACGGTGCTGCTCAAGTGTATGGCCATGTATCTGTGATGAGAGTTGTCAGTGTGATTTGCGAGAGTCAAAGCAGCCAGGAGCTGTCCACTTACATGAAAAAGAGTACAGCAGATATTCTGAGCCATCTCTTTGTTCTGCGACCATGGCTGCCTATCGCCCTTGGCTTTATTATAGACAGAAGGACATTAATGAGAGCCAAGAAGGTTCCAACAGCCACAAAGCTGAGGAAAATGATGTCGAGAGTGTCTCTGAAAATCATGGTGGAGTTTAGCTGGTTGTGGAGCAACTAGCTTTGTACATACGCAGATCAATCGCTCCTCTTTTCTTCCCGGGGAATCAAGCATATTATATGCTGCATACCGACAATTTACAATATGGGTTCATTGGCAAGGCGTTATTCAATCCCCTGCCAAGGCGAGGAAGGCGGCCGGCACAGCCACTGCGCGATCCTGGAAATTCAGTGGCGAAGCTGACTATTTCTCCAAAGATCATTCCCAAGCCAATCAACAGGGCCGCCAAGAGTTCTGGTAAAGTGACAGGGCAAAGCAGGGCAAAGCAGGGCAACAGACGCAGGGTTCATAAAGTGGCAGGTCCATTCATTGTGGGAAACAAGACCTCAGCTTCCTAATCGCAACCCAACTAGCCCTCTCGTGACTCTATTGTGTCACCTGATTGACACAAGCCCTGAACATCCCCCGGTTGCGGCCATGTCAAGCCATATTGCAATCAGTCTTGAATGCAACGTTTGTCACAATTGTGAAGAGCGTCGTTTTGACGACAAGAACGAAGTAAGCTAAAATTGTTGGCAACTGTATTCAAGGCCAGGTTCCCTCTGAGAATCGCCTTCAGCCACTATCTCAGCTGGATAGATTGGCTAAGGAGTTTTTTTTTAAAAAAAAAAAAAAAAAGGGAAAGCTACGGAAACATTAATCGCTTTTCGGGGAGGCTGAGAAACGAGGTCTCATTAATCTCAAATGAATTGAATGTTTTAGATGTTGACTCATGATTGAGAGATGAATTCACATGTGTCGACCGTCATCAAGTTTAAGGGTTCCTATCGCTTAAGTGTGGTATTTCATCAAGTTCACTTGGCTAGTCTTGGAGCGTGAGCCCGCTCAACAGGGTCGCTGGTTCGAATCCAGCCTGGGGCAACCTTCGGGAACCCTTTAGCCTGCGGCAGGCTATCGTAAGGTCTGATCCACCTAAAGAGGCTTAGCTCAGCCGTGGATCGTGTATTTCAATGTGTGCCGGTCATTGTGTGGCCCGGGTCCTTCTGGATGTTTATAGTTCCAGACTCGGCAAAGGTTTTTAGTCCCGGCCCGATAGGGTACTCGCGGGTGAGGTTTTTACCGGGCAAAATGTGTTATTATGATAAGTGTGTACTTAAATACCCTCCTATCTTAGATAGGTTAATTGTTATTATGATATTCATCAAGTTCACAACTTGAATAGATACTTGGATTTTAGGGTCATAAATTGTAACTCTCTTTTGCTGTTCCAGCAAAAATCGCTTCAATGGCACTGGCATCCAGATCAAGTTTGGTGCACATGGCCTCCACTATGCTCTTCCAATGCGCCCAAGCATTTTCGACTCCAATGGTGCAGACGGGCCAATCGCTTGCAAATATGATTCTCTGTGGGCCGAATGCTTGAATGATTACCTTGAACCATGGAAGCAGATATTCGGCGACGGCGGGCGGGTTGAGCAGTTTTGTGGACTCTGACATTTCGGATAAAGCACCGGAGAGCTTCATGTATACACGTGGAAACTTGCCAAGTACAGTAACAGCAGCCGCCCAGACTCGGAACTCCTCGTTTGTGTCGTCAAAGGGGCCTGTCAAGTTGGGCTTGAGCATATGATCTATAGAACTGTCAATACTGAAGAGTGGCTAGGGTAGTATGAGACCTACTAAGCACAACTATGACCTGCTCGTCCTGGCGAGCAACATCTGCATGAGCCCGCTTGATTAGTTCAACAGTGTCATCGAGCTGAATCTTCCCTTTGTGGTGATAATCAACACAAAGCTCGAAGACAAACCGCCGCCGCCCCAAGAGTTTTAGGCTTTCAACAAAGTCCTGCCTCAGCGCCGTGCCAGGGGCTTTATCTTGCAAAAGGTAGCGAAATCCTTTGACCTTGGGCCAAGCGGGGCCTGCAACTTGCTTGGCTTTATCGAGGTAGGTTTCTAGCACGGCAGGGCCATTTGGAAGTGGTGCCCAAGGAACAAGACCCAGCACAAGCCGCGAATTCTCAACAACGTGCCCTTCACCGGCTTTTGGCTCGCCTAGGGCCAGGCGCCGATACCATGAAATCTCCTTCAACGGCCCTTCCCATCCCTCTTCGCCAGCATCGAGATCGTATATACGGTCGTTTTCGACGACGACAAAGCCTGAGACTGATGGCGAGGATTTGCTGGCGTTTCGGAAGTCCTCCACGGAGTATTGCCCGTCAAGTGGATGGCCAGTTTCCAACCAAGATATTGAATCGATTTCAGATTTAGGGAATAAGTGTACGTGTGAATCGATTACAGGGATCCCCAAATCCTCGTTCGTCATTATGGTTGGAAGGTATGGTTGATCTTGAGGTGACAAGGTCACTGTAGGATTACCACTTAAATTGTTGGCTGTAAAAGGGCATGCATGTTTTAGATACACAATATTCAATCTATAAGAGGCGAGAGATGATGTGGCATCACATGTTGAGGGGCAGGTCTTCAATTGAATACACCCGACGGGAAAATACATTGACCCGTCGTACCGCGCTCTCTGTGATGATTTCAATAAATCCCAATTGGTGGGTGAATTGTTTATTTTAATCCCGCTAATGAGTGGAACATGGCCCAATGGTTGGCTGCATTCACAGAGGAAACTTGCTCGGTGTAGGATAGAACCGGCGTGGAAACAAGCATCGGATAAGGGAGATACACTGACCACCTTCCTCACTGATGCCATGTGGCCATCACCAGCTACGGTAATTTGGATTCGAAAGAAGTTCTTGGTATATTCACGACGGGTTGTCTGTTGAGAGATGTGCTTGATTGGAGCAAATTATTATTTGTAAACGGTAGAATTCCGTAGAATATCCTAAGCATCGGTATGACCTATAATAACATATTTCCCTTTGCAAAAGCATGAAAAAAAAAACACTAATTTATCCTAAAGTTCATCAAATAAAGTCCTCAATATCAGGTGTGATCCAGCTAGATAAAAAAACCTGATTTCTTTACTCACAGAGCCGGCAAAGCCATCAATCCTGCAAGATAAGCTATAGGACAATTAATCTTTCGTCGATTACGGTTCCAAAATTGGAAAGTAAAATGCTATAAGTGAGAGTTTCCTTCTAACGCTAGTGTTTTCACCACCATGAGCCATGGATATTGGGCGGCACGAATAAACCGAGAAACAAGAGGTTACCTCGAGCTTGGTGTGTTGAAATAATTAGGTTGGTGTGAGGATAATGTGAAGCCTGGTAAAATAGGGTAAAATTTAATGTCGTTTGACAACCGGCTCGTCTCGAAGGCAAGCGAGTCATTGATATGGAATGAAGGTTTAGAGTTTTTCATTCATAGCTGCAGCCTTCGGCTAGTAGAGCTTGATCTTTTTAACTTTCCGTATTCATTGCCCATTGTGAGAAGTCAGGTCTGGAATCTTCGTGGCGGTTTTTTTTGCTTTGTACTCGAATGCCCTCACCCGCCTGTTTCTCTACGTTATCCGGATAGCTCAGTTATTGGTCATCCAACCATCGTTGGGGGTTAACTGGCCCAATCGCCTGATAGTTCATAGCTCAATAATGGGCTCACTGGTACGTCTAGCACACATAGAATGGACTTCATTCGCAAGATTGAGCCTGACCGATGAAGCAAGGCCGACGCGACGATGACAACTAGACGCGAGCTCCGTCTCGAAGGAACTCAGCAAAGTCCAGCGGCAGTCGTGGCGGCTTCAATTGATGATGGCAAGAAGCACCTGCTTCTGGCCGCGGTATGCCTTTTCCAATCTTCGTGTCCAAGTGGCCCTGTTATATACTAACGTCTGGTGAGGGCTGTAGAGTGGTTCTGTTGCCATAACCAAACTACCTCTGATCGTATCCGCGCTTAGAGATCATCCGAACCTTTCCATTCGAGTTATCTTGACTGAAAAGGCGGCCAGGATTCTTACAGGCCAGTCAGCGGAACAGCCCGCCGTCTCTGCGCTGGCTTCGCTCTCTAACGTTGATGGTATTTACCTTGACGAAGACGAATGGAGTCATCCTTGGGTAAGGGATTCAAATATATTGCATATAGAACTCCGTCGTTGGGCTCACCTCCTCGCAATTGTCCCAATGTCGGCCAATCTACTAGCGGACGTTACGGGAGGGTTTTGCCACGACCTCTTAACCTGTGTCGTTCGTGCCTGGGACACAAACTGCACAATTATCGCCGCACCGGCTATGAACCAGTTGACCTGGGAGCAGCCCATCACAGCAAAACAGGTATCAGTACTTGCTGAAGACTGGAAATGGTTTGATATATTATCTCCACAGACAGCAACAGAAGCTTCCGGTGACCTTGAGGAAGAAGTAATGTACGATTGGACTGAAATTGTAAGCGTTATTGAGAGACAACTGGTAGTAATTGAGTAGTATCATATTGAGAAAAGCGAGGTATGCCGGTAGTTAAGAGAACTTGTGATTCTTTCTTTCTAATTGATGGTATTACCGATATTGGACGATTGACAGCTCATATATTCGCCCACTCATTGTGCCCTGCTGCCGGACCAAAGGAGGCCAGGCTCAATGGAACGTAAGTCGGGCACGGGTATAAAGTATTTACGCGATTATTGGCTGATTAACTGTTACCAGCAAGTTTGTAACTGAGGTTTGGATAGGGGCGAAGTAAACGTGATGGCCCATTTGAAATCCATAAAATATCTATGATGAAAAGGGCGTTGCGCTATTCGTGAATGCAAATCTAGCTGACACCGGCTGCCTTGGCGATCCCAGCAATCTTGTCCTCCCGCCAATACCACAAGCCAGCCCATGTTGCGCCAGGACCGACCAGAAACTGTCCTGCTGCCACGCAAAGCGCTGCTTTGACGGCCTCATTCGTCTTGATGAACCCTCGGCGACGCAGGTTCCATATTGAGAGCAGGTTGCTGCCCACATATCCCGCAACTCCCAGCACCATGTCATACCTGAAGAAGGTTGCTAACTCGGCACTCAAGCTCGGGAATCTCCAATCAGCAGAGAAAGGGTTAGGAAGATTGAAGAATGTTTTTGCAAGACTCAAACCGGGGTAGGTCGAGCCGTATGCCAGTGTCGCAATATGGGCGGTCGCTTGGACGGCGAATGCGTACGTGTAGACCGATTTTAGTGTGTCAAGATCTTGAGCTGGGTCGCCGTCCAACTCGTCCTTCGGTTCGGCCCCGTCACGACTTTCATTCCATTTCTTCAGGCCCTTTGAGATTAGATACGTGAACACATTGACAAGCGGCGGTGCAAATTGCCACAGTCCAAGCCAATGATTTCCAGCTGTCTGGTTTGGCGTCGGCAGAAGCGCCATGATGGTTGGAATGACAAAGCCGAGGGTTACCGAAGGGAGGAGAGACTTTGCCACCTCGAGCGGAACAGTGCGTTCGACAGGACCTTCGCTCCAAAAGAATGCACTCAGGATGGTATGAAAAGGGGCTGCTCGCGCGATGCCTTGGACCTGCATACCGGCATTGAAGAGGAAGGGTAAAGCCAGAGGACTAGCTCGCTGTCCCTTTCGATACCCTTCGATAGTATATATGAGGATAGGCGAGATCAGCTGCGGCAGAAAGTTCGTGATATGCAGCCTGGCGGAAGGATCCTGAATCGGCACCGCCAGGACAGAGGTCACCAGCTCGAAAAGCTTCGAAGCAGCATTGTTGCCAAACCACTTGAGGCTCATGTTTTGTGCACTCCACTTGGTTACTTCATTGAATGGGAGCCGAAGTGATTTGGCCGCGAGGAACAGAGTGGCTCCCATACCACCCAAAACCGCTCCGCGCACCAGTTTGTGGACCGAGTTGTCAATAATGTTCGCAGGCAGCTCGTCGTCATATGGACTGAACCGTGGCTTGTAAGGTATAGGAAGCTTCTCTAATCTTGCGCCGGGGCCGAAGACATCAGTCAACATAGCAAGAACCGCATCAGAACCGGCCAGAGGCGACACAAAGTTGTTGATGAAATTGGTGAGAATGGGGTTCTCTTTGGCAAAGAATGACTGTCTGAAGTGGGCTTGGTGGACAATGTCCTTCGCACGTTCGTGTCTGGTCAATTGTGTTTCCCGGAAAATATGTTCAATCTCTGCATCTGTAAGGCCTGACAGACTGCCTCCTCGACTATCCTTCAATCGAAGGATGTTGTTCACGAGCACCGCACAGGACTCAAGAGCTCCATTGCCTCCCTGCCCACCAATTGGGTTCGGCTAAGCAGGTAACACGATTAGAAAGCAGATTGGAAGCGGGAGTAGAGTTGGCTGGGGGGGCTTACCTTATGACACGAGTCGCCTAATGTGATTATTCTGTTGAAAAACCATTTCTCGTAGACTACCTCATGGAGTGGAGTCAGCGCGGACGAGATCCGAGCGTTATAGACATTTCCCCATGTAATCGTAGTTGTGATAGGAACATCCTTATTTTTCTTCACGAACTCTGCCTCGTCCTCCTTGGTATACTTGGGGATATCCTTGCCGTATTTGACTTCTGGCAGTTGCTCGAACAGAAACCAATACACTTTATCTTCGGGACCCGATACGACCAGCTGAGAACACCCCGTACCAAAAATTAGGTGCTGCTCGTTGGGAACCCAGTTGGGAACATGCTGAGCGATGCCGAAGCTACACCTATAGTAGCACGGTACCCTGTCCTTTTCGCCTGGATCAAAGTAGCCTGGCTGAAGCTTGTGGCCAAGCTCAGTCATTGATTCTCGCACAGCACTGTGAATGCCATCTGCGCCCACGAGAAAAGTTCCAGTGAAGACGGAGCCATCGGCACAAATGGCTTCGACGCCCCCTTTAACCAGGTTGACATTAGTGACTTTCTTCTGCGTCAAAACCCGCTCCTCGTGCTCGAGCTTGCCGTAAAGGATCTCCAATAACTTCTGGCGGTCAAAGAAATAAAGGCCATACCCGAATCTAGCCCTTAATCGCTCGAAAAAGTCGTCCATCGTAGACAATACTCGGCCCTGCTCGTCTCGAGTATAGGTCTTCTTGTAGGGAATGATACCTGCAAACACTTCCTCGATATCCTCCACACATCCCAGTTGGTCTAGTATACGCATCCCGTTGGGAAACATACCAATACTGGCACCAACCGCTGGTGCAATCTCCCTATGACCCTCGAGGATCACATAGTCCAGATCGAACCGCTCAAGCATGAGGGCCAGGGCAAGCCCCGCGATACCTCCACCCGCAATAACAACTTTAAAATCTTTCCCTGCACTCATATTCGTTCTGTCGTGGATGATGATGAAAAGTGAGTAAGCACAAAGATGGCTGATTAAGTCTCATGGGTATATATACAGCCCTGGTGTTCGTGGGGCTATCATGAACCTCAAGCTTACACCCATGTATAGCGATCCTGGCTGTCAGTAAGCGGGCTTCGGGGTCTGCATTGTGCGGATTATAGATCTGGTCCGCCCCGCGGTTTGCTCCACGGACAAGGCCGGACTTGTGGCCCCCGAGATGCCGCGTTTGTCGCGACATCGGGTTTGTGGCTATGTGTCGTGAACTAAGCTGCTGCACATGATAGACCGATGGACTTGGACAACGGACTCTGGTTTTGCGCGCAAAGAGTTTTCTGTTGACTTGGGAATAAGCGGCTATGAGCATGGGTAGTTGTCAGCCCGACTACTCACGGAGATAACAATAGCCTACCTGTGTACCTTTCGGAAAATCACAGACTTGCCGCATAATAAGCAGGCTAATTTATTGTCAGCTTGCTAGGCTGGGTGGCAGAGACTGTCCCCTGCGAGCGCTTCGATCGTTAAACAAAATTTGCCATCAACATGCCAGCCTGGCTATAGATGGTACGAAACAACTTTAAGTCGGAACGTACAAGATCGTCGTTGATGACGTGGGGTCACTTGTCAATCAATTTTTACCCAAAACCGACACGCCCGAGAAGAGGCGGGTGAACAACATTCAGGGGGTGGCTGAAGCCAAGATGGATAATCAAGTCATTCATAATTGCCATTTTCGAAAGCTGTTGTCCATACTTGAGAGCTCACAGGGAAAGAGATGAGACCTACTTCAGACCAATAACAAGCACTGGCATGACAAGATTGCCCCAGTCAGCAAAGTCAGCATCCTTGTGTACGTGATCCGCACGAATGAGACGTTCTACTGGTGTTTGGGAATTTCAACTTTTTTTTCAGCAGCTGTACAGCTCCCTCACCTACTTGCTACTATAAGACGTTCTACGCTCATCACTAAGTGGCTTTCAAGGATAAGTAGCTCCTTATTCACAATACCAACGAGCGGGACGGCTACCACCGCCCTGAGCCGTTGAGAAGCTTTAGGGTAACTGACAAGGGTTGGCGGTCAACATCAAAAGTGAGCATGTCCGCCTTGGATCACAGTACTTAAGGCTATGCCATCCAGCTCGTCTCTGCTTGGCCCGTTACAAGGTTAAACAACAGATCTCTTCATCTGCAACTTAAAGGCTTGGGAGATAGCGCCCCTGAATATGAAGTTTCAGTTTCCTACGATGCTGGGGCCTTGCCGCAGGGCATTACCCTCATCTACACTGTTCCCGCCTGTTTGGACATTAATAATTACATGAATCTTCGCCTCTGGACGTCTACAGACTTATCCACAGATTGAGGTCTATCGATCTCTGTTCAGAAAGCAAACGCCGACTGCAGTGTATAATAATCGATCCTCTTGGTCCTGCGTGGGAGAACACGATGATAAAGTTTAATAACAATGAAGCTGCCAGGGCCCGACCAACTCAACACAATGAATACGAAAAGCTTAAAAATATTGCCTTTCCTCGCACACCCAAGGAGTTATACGGCCAGAGAACTCTAACCTTCTTACGGATGACTCACTTGTTGTCAGGACAGCGGCTTATCGAATGACTATTAATACCGTCTCTTTCACCTGGCTTCACACTCGTTTTCGATCCGACCATATCAACCAATCCAAGCACTTCAGCTAAGCTCGAAACTCTTGGTCCTATGCTAGGTCTGTAATAATGGATACGTCCTGGGGTATCAAAATATATAACACCCGCCCAGCCTACATATGATCCAATAATTGATGTTTTTTATATCTTCAACTAATTCTATAGGTTGTGTTTTCTATCTTTATTTCTCCTTCCACTCTTACTATTCTTACCTTTCTTCTATATCTCTGACAGTCTTATCGATCAGCTTTCAGGAATAAGTTCCTCAATGTATATTGTTTTCCTTAAGACATTTCTTTGCTGCCTCCCATGCGTTATGACTCATTGCATATGCCATAAACTGCCTGGATTCTTGCACTGGATTGCTAGTTATCAGGTAAAGTCGTTAAGAAAGGCTTATATGAACTTACTAGTCGGTCTAGGGTTGTGAGGGTCACTCAGATCCTTGCCATTTCGGCGCGAGTAGTCTTGAATGCGATTTATCCTTTCTCCGCGGTACTTTTGTAAAAGCGGCAGCCGTGAGACAATCTCGCCTGGTTGGGTTCCGAGTGGCATCAAAGCTGCCAGAAACACAGCGTCTTCGATTGCCATTGTCCCACCCTGGCCCATGACTGTGGTTGAATATTAGCATTTCAGGAATGGTTCGTTGGAGGGATTTGATGCGAATGGTACTTACATGGAGTAAAAGGATGGCAAGCATCTCCAATGAGAACCAGTCGACTGTCCACCCATCTAGAAAGTGGCTTCATATCCCAAAGCTGCCATAATTTCAATTCTTCCTCTGGTGCCTGCCCCACGAATGCTCGTGGCCCAGGCCCAAAAGTACTAAAGGACTGTACCAAAGCTTTTTTGCTGGCTGTGAAGTCTCAGCGCATGTCTGTATATTTAAGATGATGGAATCTTACCGTGAGATAAATCAGGTGTTTCTGATGGCGGAACAAAAGCCACACAGTTCGAAAATTGGTTATTAGCGCAAGGATAATAAATAATCCTTCGATCATCTCCCATCCACTCTATCAGGGAAACCCCGAGCTTGCTATATTCCACAGTGTGGTCGTCCTCAGCCATTGCAGAGTTTGGGGCTAACCATCGATAGCAGTTCTTCCCATATGCAAACGGCTTTGCGTTAGGATCAACGTAATTTCGGGTGAAGGACTGTGAGTCGAGTTACTTAGATCCCAGTATATGCCTTGTCATGTTTACTACTTACATGTACCCCATCGGCACCCACTAGTATATGCCCAGAGTATTCCTGCCCGTCTCGAAGTTGAAGTTTTGCGTCTGTCGTGTCTAGGCTCGCAATATCGCAAGCAAGGAAGAGTTTCACCGGTGTGCCTGGGCCATCACTCGCAACGGCTGCCTCCTTTAGGGCTCGGTGAAGATGTGCGCGGTGGATAAAGTACCATTTCTATAATTATTCAGCGTCCCAACGGTTTATGTTGATCCTGGAGATATTATGCAAACCTGTTCGAAAGTGTCTTCATCGCTAGAACTAGATAGCGCATTGTTGACAAGGCACTCCCCTGACGCGTGGTATATGGCGAACTGAGATGCATTAGTTCGGCTAAATCTTCGATATTGAGTTACTTGTACCTTGTTACAGGGAGTGCCTCCTTGGGTCTCCGGGTCAAAACCCAGTTGCCTTAGAATCCGGACGCAGTTTGGACCAAGTGCGACAGCTGCACCTATCTCCGATGCGAATTTCGATTTTTCAAAAACCTAGTTGAAGACCCTCAGTATCTTTATATGACCAAGCGACTTTCAACCCATGGAACATACCGACACTTGGTGACCCTGGCGTCGAAAGGCCAATGCACAGGCTAAGCCGCCAATACCAGCTCCGACCACCAACACGTGGAGAGGATCCTCACTCATCGCTGATAAACTTGTTCGAATATGATATGCAAGATGTCTGGAATACTGCTAACAATCCCAATGCCTTAGGCCGACAGAAACATACTTATTATACATTCAACATTTCCAGGGGAAAAGCTTGCATATCGCACGGCTCATTCAGGCACCCGAGTATGGATCGACGATGAGAGCCGGGAGGCCGATGCTTCGGCATTAAACCCCTTAGGCCGAAGAAGCGACTCCAGTCGATGGACATGAGAGGCAACCCAAGCAAGCTCCATAACAACAGTGTCAAACACATCAATGCCCGGTTAAGGAAACATCCGGCTCCCTTCAATCTCGGCACAATATACCCGTTGAGGTATAGATGTGTCAGAGATGACGAAGAGCGAAAGATTAAGTTTCAACAAGGCTAATTCACGTCGTCCAGCAATGGAAGTTGAATAAGAACGCCTGAGGTAGTAGCTCGTTCGTGGGGTGACCTAGAAGTTACTGATAGAGATTTGCAATGGCTTCGCCTAGTATCTTCGCTTTTTACATTATTGCTGTAAATGTGTTCATAACGATGTGATAAAGGTTGAAGGTGTTGATACTTGGTCCAGATAGGAAAGGCTAACCGCCCGTGGTGAAGTCTTCGGTCCAATTAGTATATCTGGTCTGATTCGGCACGGCTGTTTCAACCTTCCCTTGTCTTTGAAGATGGGGACAATCCAAGTTGTAGTCCACTTTAGCTACTACCCTTGTGGAACGAGAGGAACCAGGCACGGGTGGTGACACGTCTTCTATTATTATTCCCTTCACCTCCGACATAGACTTCCGAGCCAACCTCTCGGGGCCTCGGTCGATGTTTCAATACCGATGGCTCACAACTACCGATTGGGAGAATAACCTCCTGTCTGCTTCCATCCGTTGTCTTGTCCGTGTATTGTTAAAACGGGAGCTTGCTTTGCAGAGAATCTAGGGGCAGTTTTATTTTGAGTCACATAAATCATTTGCTCACTTTATTTGCATTATTTGTGTTTAGTTCATCGTCATGGATCACTGGGTGGAATCTGGGCTCTCTATGTGTCCTTCATATTTCAGGCGCCTATTTGACCATCCCGGGATCAATGAAGATGTACACAACTGGAGCTATATTGGTCAAGGCACTGCAGAAGATTTTTTTTATTGTAGAGTTACTGCCCAATGATCCGATGGATCCCTTGCAATCTTCTGCATGGAAGAAATGGTCTCTTACGTTTCTCGCAGCCTTTACCGTTTTAGCCGTCAGCTTCGCATCCAGTATACTCCAGCGGTATTGAATATGTCGTTCAAGATTTTCATGTCTCCAATACGACTGCAATTCTTGGTATTTCCTTGTTCGTTCTAGGATTTGCGCTGGGTTGAGCTCATGCTCCAAGCCTTCTTCACAACCCAGCTCCCATTAGTTATTCAGACTCTGACGTGGTGGTCAAGGCCTTTAGTGTGATTGCCCCGTTATCGGAAATCTTCGGTCGACAAATACTTTTTCATAACACCTATATGGGGCTTACTGCTCTCAATGCCGGCGCAGCAGCCTCACCCAACATCCAAATCTTACTGGCTCTACGCTTCCTGGCTTGGACGATCGGTTCATCATCCAACACGAATTCTGGAGGGGTCATTGCGGACATGTCTGCTGCTGAGGAGCGGGGGCTTGCGAATGCACTTTTTGCTTTGGTACTGATTTCCAGTAGTGCTGCCTGAATCCCTTTACATCAACAATCCTCGATCATTTTCACTCATACCTCCCATGAATTTCTCTTGTTTCCCTTTTCTCATGGCCATTTCTAACGCGTCCATATTTCTCTAGGCACCTTTCCTTGTTCCATCAGTTGGGCCGATTGTAGGCGGCTTCTCAACCGAGGCAGTAGGATGGCGCTGGCTCCAGGGCTTCATGGCAATTTTGACTGGTATCTGGTATCATCTGGATCACATGCACGCTATGTGTCCCCGAAACCTACGTACCAGTACTTCTTCATCGACGAGCTACTAAACTATCCAAGATCACGAATCGAGTGCATATATCGAAACTTAACGTTGGCCAGAAACCAAAGACCATCGGACAAGTCATCTGTAGGGCACTTCTTCGCCCGTGGCAGCTACTCTTCCGCGAGCCCATCTTTACCCTGTGTTCAATATACATGTCAATCGTCTTTGGGGCACTCTACATGATGTTTGCAGCTTTTCCCATTGCATTCCAGCAAGCACGTAACTGGTCACCAGGTATTGGTGGCCTGGCCTTCCTCGGCGTTGCGGTCGGCATGACAAACGCCGTTGTCTACAATGGCTTCGATAACGCGCGGTACACCAAGGCTACCGCAGATAACGATGGTCATGCGCCGCCAGAAGCGAGACTTCCTCCAGCCATGGTTGGTTCAATGCTCTTGAGTGTTGGTCTTTTCTAGTTCGCCTGGACAAATGGTCTTGAGATACACTGGATCTCACCGATCCTTGCTTCTGGATTCTTTGCAGCTGGCCTCGTGCTTGTTTTCCTTAGCTTGATGAATTATTTGGTTGACTCATGTATGGCATTCCCGCTCTTCTTTATCCTTTGCCGCCAGAACATTACAGCTGACCTGGTGCACCATTAAAAGATGTTATCTATGCCGCTTCAGTCTCGGCGGCCAGCTCCGTTCTGCGGTCGTTGTTCGCTGCAGCCTTCCCGCTTTTCACTACTACGATGTACGCCAATCTCGGGATACATTGGGCGAGTTCCGTTCCAGCATTTCTCTGTCTTCTGTGTGTTCCATGTCCTTTCCTCTTTTATAAGTATGGGGAAAGAATCCGCCTTAGGTGTAAATACTCTGCTCAGGCCGCACAGGTTTTGCAACAGATACAGGGCAAAGAGAAGGATGAACCTACGAACGGCGGTATAGCTATAAGGTGAATTTCCACAGTCCAACTACGGTCTCCCATGTCCTAGCAGGTTGAAGATCCTCTGTTGCGTCGCAGACAATTTATAATATTGAACATGAACAAATAGCAGATAGTGAGAAGGTTGTAAAACAATTTATAGCTACAGCAGGTATATTTCATTGCCTTTATCAGGGTCTTTTTTGCAGGCCATAAAATCTTTCATGTCCCTTGAGTTCCCCGTCCAGAGCGAGGCTCAGCACATTATAAGTTTTAACATGTCCTATTCCCAATTGAATATGGTAAGAGGCAATATAACTGAAAAAGATTATACCATCGTTCAGCGGAAGCTTACCGAGTTAAGAGCGCAATACTACAATATAGCATCTAGACTCTGACCCTAAGTTCATCAAAAAGCATAATATCCTCAAAATAAATCCGAAATGTGCCCCTAAGATATTCCCTTCCTTTTCTTCGATATACAAGCCCTCGAAGACGTCTTTACTCCAGCCTTAGTTCAAGCCAGTGACCTTATTAAGCGGGTTTACGCTCCAAGAGATCTTCACTCTCATCTTTTTGTGGGACAATCCCCGGACATGCTTGCAAGACGGGCCGAGCCCGGACTTAAATTTGGGAAAGACCGATGAGCCGACGACTCATAGAATGGCCTGACCATGCCGCAGACTGACATGCAGCTCGGCGTAAACCATGGAGTTAGAACAACAAACACCGAGGCACATCATCATCAATTATTGAGGTATTTAGGCAAAGACGAATGAACGTTGTTGGTCCCGGAGCATGCATTGTTACCATTCATCCAAATTCCCTATTTCGTATTTTCTTTTCCATAGGCCAATCTCCGATCGAGATCCACGAACTCGAGAAAATGAGCGACGCAAAAAAGACAGTCTTAGTGACTGGAGGTGAGTAGTCCGAATAAACTGGTGTCTTAGTAACAAGTATGTTAAGCATGCTTTTTGTTGACCGAAAATACAGGAAATGCTGGCTTAGGATACGAGGTCGTGAAGGCACTTTACAAGTCTAAAGCACCATACGATCTCATTATCGCTTCGCGTTCTTTGGCTAAAGCCCACGGTGCTATCCAAACACTTATCCAAGAGACCCCTGATTCATTGTCAACTCTGGACGCTGTCCAGTTGGATCTATCACAAGACGATTCCATTGAATCCTGCATCGAATTCGTGAGCACAAAGTATGGGAAGCTTGATATTTTGATTAACAATGCAGGAGCTGCTTTCGATTATGAGATCGCAGCAGGCCGAATGAGTCTTCGTGAGGGCTTCAACAACTCCTGGGATGTCAACGTAACTGGTACGCATGTGCTCACTCACTTAGCCATGCCTCTTCTCTTCAAGTCTGATGAGAGACGCCTTCTCTTCTTGACGAGTGGTGCATCATCACTGGCAGAGACTGAAATGTCTGGAACGGCTATGTTTGACCGAAACAATGCCGCGCCAGACGCCGGATGGCCTAAGACTTCCCAGCGAAATATCACAGCATATAAATCGACAAAGACAGGCCTTAATATGTTGATGAGAGAATGGGAGCGTGTTCTGCGCAACGATGGTTTCAAAATTTGGTGCATCTCACCGGGATTCCTGGCAACTGGGCTAGGCGGTGCTGGCCCGGAGGTTCTGAAAAAGGTATGCTGATACTTGCAGATCCTCACCCAAATCAAAACACTAATCATTCGCCAGATGGGAGGACTTGACCCTTCTGTGGGTGGCCAGTTTATTAAGGATGTTGTTGAAGGTAGGCGTGATATGGACATTGGCAAAGTCATAAGAGTTGACACGATCCAACCTTGGTGATGATCTTGCAACCTTTTGGCTTAACCTTCACATTGACCGAAATCTTCTTGGTTTGTTTTTATATACGGTATACATCTACACTGCAATCTCTGATGGCTCGCTCCCCAAAGCTACATTGAGTGCAACACTGGGTCTAACATCAAGCATAAAAATTTTAAGGTCATTTCTCAGTAGGCTTTTTATTGTTTAGGAAACAGCCCAAGGTAAGGAGTTGACGATGTATTTATGTTTTGAGGAACGAACGGCTCTTCCCCTCGGAACATAAAAAGCCTGGGATACCGCGTCTCCTTTTGTATCTGGCATCCAAACATGATCAGCGGTCCATCTTGCTAAATTGAGCTCAAAATCTCACGGCAAGAGTGTAAAGTTTCATTGTCGCAAATACCATCTGAATGGGATTCCCCCCTTTGCAATGAGAGCTCATCAATTGAGGAATTGAAGTTAGCAATGGCATAATTCGGAAAGGGAAATGTTTATCCAGCGAAATGTGAGACTACAAAATAAGCCGCACACGTACTTCTACTCCTACTACAGGTACTTGTAACTGTTGAAACAATGGCGTAATTGTATAGGAAGCAGTCAGCGGCTTTAAGGACCTTGACAAGATCCCGCCTCCCGTTCTTGGGAGCTCATTGATCCCAGGAGTGCAATAGGTGACGAATTGAGTTCGGATAAATCCAAGCCATCTGTCATTGGTGCGGAGACCGCTGAACTTGGAATACGGGCACAAAATGCGGAGTACATGCTCGGGGACGTAAATCCGGATATCTAATGGTGTTGGTAAACCTTTATAACACCACCTCTCTAATTATGACAGTGCGTCAATTCACCGCAATTGTTCTCGGCCCATAACATCAAGTTCATCTTAGTTAACCTGCCCCAGATATCTGGGCCGTTTGCTATTACAGTCTACCTTGCCAACTCACCACCATGGCTGTTCCCGGAATTGTTCATCGTTTGGTCCAGCCCAAAGATAACAGCGCACCTTTGCTCCCAGATGCTGTCCTAGCACCTCCAGGGATCGTCCCAGGAATTGAGGGGTTCCTCGTATTCGAGAGTCAAGACGATCTCACCCCAAAATACAACACCACATATTTCATCAGTGACATTCGCCCCGTGGTTGAATCATCATCGTATTTTAAGGAGGATGCCAACAAGAATGGCGACCAGCTGGCTTCTCTCGCTTGGGAGGTCGCATCCTTTATTCACGGTCGCGATACAGTCCAGCAAAAGGAGCTGACCCCGGAGCCTCACCTGCTGCCCAGCCCTCCAGCCATTGGCTCGACGCTGGTCAGCAACGGCAATACCCCCGCCGATGGGTGGGATCAGGACTACAATGACTGGTACAACAAAGAACACAGCGCCGCGCTGAGCCTGGTCCCCGGTTGGAATAACTGCCGCCGCTACAAGCATGAGAAGGCATACGGCGGGGCGGACTATGCATCTTGGTATGGATGGAACTACTACGATGCGAAGAATGGGCTCTACGGCCCAGAGTGGCAAGCGAGTATGACACCTTGGAGGGAAAAGGTTCGAGGGCATGGTCGAAAGCCAAATTTGCGTCGTGTTTGGAAGGTCATCAGGAACTAAGCATACGAATAAGATGGACGGTTGTGACTTTTTGTGCGATAAGTTTTACTGTGTACCTCTCCGGGAATCTAGGACACCCTCGAGATAGACCGAACCTCTTTCTATTGAGGTGGAAACATCAACATTGCGCTAATCTAGCACAAGATACAACATTTATGCGAATTCCGTGGTCTTTTTCCCTACACGATCCTCTTCGTGCCTCGAACAACAGCAAAAACGGGTCTCTGCAGCCAAAGTTCCCAGTAGCCAGGGTCGCTTTTGACAGCCTCAGTATCTTCATATGGAATCACTTGAATGTCCGTCAAGCCACTCTTTTCATGCATTTCCAATGACCCCGAGTAGCTCATTTCTACAGTCTTGCCATCAAACTCCCATGCGGGTGTCACGTGGAACAAGCAAGTGTATGCAAAGCCATCTGGGGTCGGTTTCACATTTTTCAAAGATATTCCGTATTTGTCAGTGCTGGCAGCCGGACCGAACAAATCTGCCATTCGAATGCCGAGAAACCTGCCACCAGGCTTAAGGTACTTGGAAATATTCGCCCACATCACCTTGAAGGCATCAACATCGCCAGCGTGATCAAAGACCCAGTTTGCCATTACGATGTCGTATCCCGCGTCAAGTGGTAGATGGTCCATTGGCTTGGCCGCATCGGCTTCGAAGAAACGCATACGGCCCTTGCGATCGAGTGACTTCTCGATTCCCTCAGCAACCTTGAGCATTTCGGTAGACAAATCGACAATGTCTACGCGTCTAGCTCCTGCTTCAACAGCTTCTCGCGCGTGAATCCCACTGCCACCCCCAATGTCAAGGACAACTAAGTCCGTAGCGTCGCCGATTGCTAGCTTTATCAGCTGGGATTCGAGCAATACCGCGGGCAAGGCGCTTGCATCATTGTAAGACTGGGCGAACTTGTTGTAATCCTCCTTGACCTGTTCCGCTGTAGACATGTCGAAGATGGATAAGGCGATCAGATATGACGAGATATGATGCGATGCAGATAGTACCAATTGACCTTGCGGAGAAAATATGACAGGTGAAACAGCAGAAGTAATTTGGCTTTTGACTTGGCCAGGGCTTTTCAAATGAGGGGTTTGTATCTATTTGCGTCGCTCGCTTAAGTACCAATCATCTGTAGCCTCACATTCACCCAGGGGAGGGGTTATGGTAGGTGGTCCCATCTTCGTTCGATCACATGAAAGGAGCAAATCGGTTAACCTCTCATCCAGCACCGAATCAAGATTTCAAATGGCCTGCAATGGGCTTTGTACGCAAAGACAAATTATTCTGATGTATGGGCAAGATATTAGAAAAGCTTTGGGGGATGATCATTTTATTGTAATAGAAAAAAATAGTAAGATTTCATTGATTGCAATTCGGTATCCGCCTATAAAGAGATCGGAAAATTAGAGTCTTATCCTATGGCTTAGAGTTTAATAACTCTAGGAGATTATCATTGATGGCTTCTTCCCGGCTTTAGTGGCTGCGAGGAGGAGCAGGCAGCGTCGCGATCCAAAAGGAGAAGTTGTCTGACATAGTATTCAGTTTAGGGTTTCGTTGTAATGCCAGGGTCCAGTATATTCTTTAGTGAGATAAATAATACTTAGGATAGTGGTGCTTAGACTTAATAGAACGAACTTGACCTTTGCATCCGACTGGGAAGAAAGAAAAGTCACCTGGCACCAGACGATGAGTGACGAATGTGGCCTCATCCTATTCAATAATCTTGGAATAGATATTCCTGTCAAATGTATTCAGACTCTGAAAATAATTTACAAACAGTAAATCCTGAAGTTTGAGACTTCCCTCTTCAATAACCGGGCTTGAATCTCAATTGTGGCCGAGTGTCAGGCACTTGAATTTGGCCGATCATCTACTTCAGCCCAACTGGTTATAAAGAATAAATGTATAATAAACCTTCTCTCTCAGCCTTTCACGTCTCTTTACTGCAAAGAGGGATTGCACATGAAGTTCACCTATAATTCTGTAGCGACAATTTGACATCATTTCACTTTTCCAGAACAAAATACATTCAGTCTTTCCACTCATGGAACAGGCACCCATCACCCGTTAAGCCTTGAATATTTCTTGGTTCCCTTTCACCCAATCTTCAAGACTAGTTGACGGCTTTCCAGTGTACAGCTGCACATTTCCTACACCCTCCTGATACCTAGGAAATCGCTCGCCATTTCCTTTGTCTGGACCCTTGGTACCACCAATCTTAACCATGTATTTAGCGACATGATCGGGCATTCCACGGCTGATGTATTTCTTAAGCCCATCCTCGGGCCCCAAGGTAATAATCTCCAAGTCCTTGCCCAGTACTCTGCCGATTTCCACGTAGCTATCATGGATCGATCTAACCTGGGGCCCGTAAACATACACCTTCTTCTGTCCATTTCTTGGACCTGACACAAGCACAGTACCGGCAACTTTGCCAATGTCACTCGGCACAATATTGTCTTGCTCAAATATGCCGCCGTACAGTTGCAGTTTGCCAGCAATAATGCCCTCTCTCTCTGCCAGCAGATTTGTCACGAAGCCTCCGGGGCGTAAGGCCACATAATTATCAGGGCCGAAGGTATCCTCTAAATTTGCCTCAACCTGCGCGTGAACGTAGGCAATGTAGTCGGATGGAGAAATCTCCCGCAAGCCTTGGTTGACGAGGATGGTAAAGCTGCTGAGGAATACAACGAACTCGATGCCCGCGGCCTTCATCGCCTCAATAGAGCCCTTTAAGTGGTCCGGGGCCCCATGGACGAGGTAGATGAATGCACGCTTCGCACCAGAGACTTTGACAGCCTCGCTGACTGTCTCTGGTTTTTGCAAGTCAGCGTGGACTCTCTTGAAACCACCCGCCATCTCGGCATCCTCGGTCAGGCTAGGGATAATCTTGGTGGTGTCTCGCATCGCCAGCCAGACTTTGGCGCCATGCTCTGCGGCTGTACGTGCGGCGTAAGATCCAACCTTGCCTGTAGGGCCGAAAACGAGAACGGAAGCCATGGTTATTGCGAGAAAGCAAGCGTTGGTAGTCCTCTTGTTGATGATTAGAAGACCTGGTAACTTTTAGATGAGGGAGGAACCTAACCTTATATATCTACCCCAGCGACCATCCTACGCACCACCCCGCACGTATCCTGTAAACTCATGCACAGGATGGTGAAGAAGGCGATCTAATAGGCCAGTTCTGATTTATAAGTTACAGCTACCGGGCGCAAGGCGTTTTCAGCTGGCATGGATTTGGACAGCTCGATCGACATCTGGCCCAACTCGACTACTGTTAACGGACAATTCTAATCCCCGAAGATACCTTGATGGAACCAGTAGCAGACCATTTATGCATCCTCTCGCTAAGATGTTACATATACAAAATAGCTGTACCAACGGCCCTATCTTATGCTGCGCCTGATTAAAACATTTTGATACGGTAGAAGCGCTCTCTGCCGATGTTTTGGATAAAACGATGCTTGCTGTGGGCTTGAGCCATGTCAACGAGCAGTAGCACCGACCTCAAACCTTCTGCTACCTTTGATGAATCATCGGTTTCGTATCAAGCTTTAGAGAGCTCTCCACTCTTCATGCTTCATCTCGTACAAGCCGGCAAGTATCGAATACGGGATGGTGCAACTTGGCCCCACGTATTCGGAGTTAGGGTTCGGATATACAAAGAAATTCCATGAGAACATTGCCTTAATGTAGCAATAAGATTATTGCCTCAATCAAGAAACATACTGCCATTCACCTTCCATGCGGACTCGGGCATTTCTTTGCGGCCGAGTTGATCCGGTGCTTGATCCTTCTCCCATGCGAGGACTTGCTGCGGTAACCACCTCGCTTGGCGCCTTTTCCGTCGGTTGCCTTTTTTTGCATCGTAAATATCATCTCACTTTTGCTCAAGGCGACTGTAGACTTAACGACACTCGTCCGCTAGAGTGTGGTTGACGGTGTTGAGAAACTAGGTAGAATTCCAACTACAGTAATGGTAGGACCCCAAGCTCGCCCTTTCATACAGCCTGAACTCACTGGCATGAACTTTGGGATAGCGTGAGAATTTTCTACTCAATATATAAAAAACAGTTATCTCGCCAATACTTTGGACAATATATCTGGGTCCATCGTTGCTACGTGCTAGCACTGCATCCTTTCCTGCCTTGGTTGATGATTCAAGTCACCCTCTTCTTGTTTATTAGTCTAGAAATCAAACAGATGCGTTACATGGCGTTAGACCAGGGTTCCCCCATAAAACCTGAAGAGTTACCAAACCAGAGGATCAGTCAGGTAGACGTTCTCGTCACTGTTCAATAGTTACTTCTTATCGCGATGCAGGATGCATTTTGACAAGTAGAAATGTTTGGCTCACTAAACCACCACTTCATCTCTTGTCTTCAAAATTCAAAGGATTGTGAGTACCCGGCTTCAATGACAAGCGTAGGCCAGTATCGTGAGCTTCCAACACCCAGCTCAGCTGGGCCTACGAGTGAGTCGCTGTCACAGAGTAGACCACTAGGCAAAAGGAAAATCCTTTCCTAGTTTTCCACGGTTTCCTATTATATAGCGCGTCACAGTCAGGTCTCCAACAACAGACCCACCGCTTTACAATCGATATGTTGCCTTATTGTCTGAAAACCAGCTGCCCGCAAGCCACTATCGGTCTTTCAAGACATCAGTCAGAGGCTTTCCACAAAAGATGCTCTCGTCCCTCTTTTCCCACTTCTTCTCGAAGTTCTGAGCCTGATTATACTATTTGGAATGTCACTTAGGATGCGACTATGGCTGAAGTGACCTCTGATTCCAGCGCCGGTTCCCAAGCATTCCAGAATCTAACTTGTTGATAAAACCAGCTATCCTGCCCTTCAGCTTATTAGGTACGTCTTCTTAGGCATTGCCGATGATGAGAATGCGTCGCAAGAAAATTTTCTTTTCTCTCCCCTCTTCGTCAGCCCAGATGAAAGAGAACACATATACACACGCACACGCACACACATTAACAGGGCAGCAGCAGCAAACAGCAACATCAAAATGCCTCCGTCACGACCGTTGTGACAACGGCGATGACGATGATGACGACGATGGCCGCAGCACCATCGCTAGAGATCCCAGCACCTGTTTCGGTGACAAGGAGTGGGCTTGTGCATTTCCTCTCTCGCCGCCGCGCTGCTCCTTTCCGCCCTGTTGTAAGGGGTCATTCTCCTTATTTCGGGATTGACTGAGAACAAACAATGCACAATAAAACAAAGTAGTAAGCGTGAATCTTGAGGAGTAGACACTTGCTCTCAGCATGCAGCCCAGTCTCGCGTACGCTTCCAGGTCACTCAGACAGCTTTAGGTCACCATTACCATAGAGAACATCAAATGAATTCAATTGCCACGCTTGTAACTGCTCAAAACTATAGCCTGGAATGTCCATAGTTGTTAAGGGGCTGGCTCTCCATTTCTAATTGATCATCCGTCGGTTCGAGCTTCGAGCTCTCGTATGGCTTGAAGATGAAAATGATTGCTTTGAAGGTGTCGGAAGGGTTGAGCATCTGCAACCATGCCCAGATTCCAAACGGCCCTCCCTGGTATGGATTCGTCAATGCCACCTTTGTATCGAAACCTCCCTTTCCGACGAGGTACACTCCCCAGGGGTATGCCCAGAAAAAGAACAACGAAAGGGGAACCATTTCGATGCAAAGAATCATGTTGGGGAGGCCAATGTGAAGATCGGCGTACGTCAACGTGGCGCTTTCCTTCAGCGCCCCAGTATCGGTCAGAATCCAGAACAGGATCTTAACGAGAAGAATTCAGGTTAGCACTTTCTGTCGATGAAAGCTAATTTGGTCAAGACTCACAGCCTGGAAAAATGTCAAACTGACAATCGCCTTGAACGCTATGAGCTTCAAGAGCGGTCGGTGTTTTGCAAGCTCAGCTTTCAGCAGCGCGTAGAACTGGAGGATAGCCAGCATTGCTA